TGGCTTCTGCCTTCTTTTTATTTTTTAAAAGATTGGTTTTATTTGTTTACTATTTGTTAGAGTTAGAGGCAGAGACATCTTCCAAATAGCCATGATGGCTGGGGCTGGACCAGGCCAATGTCAGAGCCAGGGATTTCATCTAAGTCTTCCACCTGGATACCAGGGCCCAAAGACTTGAACCATCCTCTGTTGCTTTCCCAGGTCATTAAATTGGAAGTGGAGCAGCTGGGACTTGAAATCATTGCGCATATGGTATGCTGGCCTTGAAGGCAGCTGCTTTACATACACTTCAATGCTGACCCCTACTGTTCCCTGAGGAAAGCCTCTTATTTGTTTACTGTATCAAACTGGCTGCTCCCCAGTGATTTCTGGTTTCTTTTTGTGGAAAATGGTATTTAATGGGGACAGTGCTATAGGAGGACAATTGATTAGTTATAATTTGCATGAGAATAATTTATTACATGTAATTGTATGAGGAAAATTGAGTGGATATCATTTGCATGAGGACAACTGATTGGGTATCATTTGAATGAGGACGTTTGATTGGATATAGAAAACAAAAATACTTTCAAACAAGGGTGTAGAAACAATTAATGGGTTCTGTAGACAGGCTTATGGGACCAATGTAAGTTCCTCATTACCATCTCCCTTATCCAGTGTGACTCTCAGTCTATAAAAACCCGATGCCACTAATAAACTTCAGCTATTGACCATCAGTCAGGAGTCTTCATGTATTCTTTATCAGGTTCCATGCACCAAGTCCATCGCTGCAGGACAGTGAACACAATGCCAATTATTGATCATCTCTTTACCGTGAGAGTATTACTGCTAGTTCAAGGTGCTTCTTCATAGATAGAGAGGAAATCATTTTTAGGGAGACAAAAATTAACCAAGAGTTAAATAAACAATTCATCATTAACATTGCAAGGTTATTTATTTTGATTTATTATTTAATAAGTGCATGTGTCTTATACCAAAAAAAAACCTTGCTTGCTAATGACATTCACATGAATTCTGACTTGTTGTATCCTGTAGCCCATATGTTAAAGTCGTAAAACAATATTATTATTTCTCATGGCTTACAGTTCTTTATGGCTTGGGTTTTTGTCCATAAGAAGACAAATACAAAGTATTAAATTTTTTAAAAAAGATTTATTTATTTATTGGAAAGTCAGATATACAGAGAGCAGGAGAGACAAAGAGGAAGATCTTCCTTCCGATGATTCACTCCCCAAGTGAGTGCCACTGCCGATACTATGCCGATCCGAAGCCAGGATCCAGGAACCTCTTCTGAGTATCCCACATGGGTGCAGGGTCCCAAGGCTTTGGGCCGTCTTCAACTGCTTTCCCAGGCCACAAGCAGGGAGCTGGATGGGAAGTGGAGCTGCCGGGATTAGAACCGGAGTCCATATGGGATCCCGGGCATTCAAGGCGAGGACTTTAGCCACTAGGCCATGCTGCTAGGCCACGCTGCCAGGCTCCAAAGTATTAAATTTTTAGCCACGTGAAATCATCGTGTGTGTATGTGTAAATATGAGGTTATACCACTAATCAGATAAGCAGTTAGGTTCTTTTACTTCAGTAAGCTTGCAACCATTGCTTTGTAAACTTTTTTTAAATAATAAAAAATTTTAAATTGGGCCTGGCAGCATGGCCTAGTGGCTAAAGTCCTCGCCTTGAATGTGCCTGGATCCTATATGGGCACCAGTTTTAATCCCAGCAGCTCCACTTCCCATCCAGCTCCCTGCTTGTGTCTGGGAAAGCAGTCAAGGACGGCCCAAAGCTTTGGGACCCTGCACCTGTGTAGGATACCCGGAAGAAGTTCCTGGATCCTGGCTTCGGATCAGCATAGCATTGGCCATTGCGCTCACTTGGGGAGTGAATCATTGAACGGAAGATCTTCCTCTCTGTATATCTGACTTTCCAATAAATAAATAAATCTTTAAAAAAATTTTTTAATTGTATTTGAGGGCCTGACATGGTAGCCTAGTAGCTAAAGTCCTCACCTTGCATATGGGATCCCTTATGGATCCGAGTTTGTATCCTAGCTGTTCCACTTTCCAACCAGGTCCATCTTGTATCCTGAGAAGGCAGTCGAAGACAGCTAAAACCCTTGGGACCCTGCACCCTCATGGGAGACCTGGGAGAAGCTCCTGGCTGCTGGGTTCAGGTTGGCTCAGCTCTGGTTGTTGTGGCCACTTGGGGAGTGAACCAGTGAGTTGAAGAGCTTTCTGTCTCTCCTTCTCTCTATAGATCTGACTTTACAATAAAGAGACACAGAGAGAGAGAATATGTCAGAGAGACACACAGAGAGAGAATATGTTTCCATCTGTTGGTTCACTCCCTCTAATGTCGTGACCGAGACTGGGCAAGGCCAAAGTCAGTCACGCAGTACTCGCCTTCTGCTGGGTGGCAGGAATCTAAGAAGTGCTGCCGCAGGGGAGGAACCCCAAACTCCACAGAATTGTGTCATAAAATTAAAACTTAAAAAAAATAGTGCTGCCCCAAAAAGTCTACATCAGCAGGAAGCAGGAATCAAGGCCAGAGTTCTGATGTAAGATACAGGCAACCTAACCACTAGGCTAAACACTTGCCTAGAAGTTTGGCTAGTATTAATGTAAGGTCTGATGGGCTTCCCACCGAAAGCATCTTCATACAGATAATTGGTCAGGGCAGGCGTTATGGCACAGCTGGTTAAACTGCTACTTGGAATGTCTGCATGTCACATCAGAATATGGGTTTCAGTCTTGGCTTCCTACTTCTAAACCAGCTTCCTCTTACTTTTATTTATTTATTTAAATTTATTTTTATTTGAATGGCAGATTTTACAGAAAGAGAATGAGACACAGAGAGAGAGAGGTCTACCATCTGCTGGCTCATTCCCCAAGTGGTTTGCAACCGCCAGGACTGAGCCAATCTGAAGCCTAGAGCCAGAAGCTTCTTCTGAGTCTCCCATATGAGTGCAGGACCCTAGCACTTGGGTCATCCTTCACTGCCTTCCCAGGTCATAAGCAGGGAGCTGGATCAGAAGTGTATCAGCTGGGCGCACAAACTGGCACCCATATAGGGTACTGGCACTTGTATGTGGAGGATTAGCTTTCTATACGACCATACCCAGCCCTGTTTTATTTAAATATATTTAAACTCACTTTTCAGGGTTTCTCTTCTCTGTCAGTTTTATAGAGACATACCTGTTCCCCAAATTTCTTGTTGTCACCAACCTTAATGAGGTTGATTTGGTGTTTGGCACACAGGACCTCCACCAACTTGACATACATGGGTTCATCTCAGTTGGATGCCAGCACACAGAGGTGGGCTTGGTGCTTGTCTAAGGCTTTAGCTGCTTCACAGATGACATGCGCGAGGCTGTTGTGGATGAGGACGGTCTTGAGCATCTCTTGTAAAGCAATGTTCACGTCCATTACACCTCAGCAGTGATGCCTTCCTTGGCCATGGTGGTGGGTTACGAGTGAAGCCAAATCTTGAACACACTGCAAGGACAAACAGTAACGGGTTTGTCCCCAAGCAAGGCCAGCAAGCCCACCCCCGCTGCTGCACTCACACTAACCTCAGGCCTTGCCTCTGCACAATATATATATATAATTTTTACATATTTGAAAGGCAGAGTTAGAGTGAGTTTGAGCTCTCCCATCTGCTGGTTGATTTCCTCAATGGCCGTAGCAATTGGGCCTGGGCCAGGCTGAAGCCATAAGTAAGGAACTTCACCATATGGTTGCTGGGGCCTAAGAACTTGGACCATCTTCCAGTGCCTTTTCCAGACGTGTTAGCAGCGAGCTGGATTGGAAGTGTAGCATTCAGGATGCAAACCTGTGCCCAAATGGGATGCCAGCATTGCAGAGGGCAACTTTACTAGCTATGTAGCAAGGTCAGCCCTGTTAACTTCCTTCTAATGCGTCCTAACATGCAGCAGATGATGGCTGATATAGTTAGACCCCTGACACCCATGTGCAAGATTGTGTGGTGTTGTGGGCACTGGGCCTTGTCTGGCACAGCCCTGGCTGCAAATATTTAGGGAGTGAACCAGTGGCTGGAAGACCTCTCTCTCTCTCTCTCTCTCTCTCTCCCCCGCCACTGTTAGTGTGTGTGTGAGAGAGAGAGAGAGACTCTTTCAAGTAGACAAAAATAAGCAAGCAAAGAATTAGTGGTTTTGGCTTCTTCCACGGCTTTTCATTTCTAAGGAGGGAGTTGCTGGGCTGTGATAGAATCAAGATTTTTTTCCCCATCTGGAGCTCTGAGGGGACTTGGATCACTTGGCTTTATTGGGCTGCCCTTGAGTGCAGAAAACAGTGAGCAAGTGGCAGGTCACGGGAATGGCAAGACTCCCCAAAGCTGAGAAGGCGGCTGTTGAAGCCAAAACACTAAATCAGAAAAGGTACTCGAGCGTGTGACCCATCAAACAGGAACAAGAGCACCCCCTGCTGGCCTCTCTGGGCTGGTGCCCCAGAATTTAATGCACTCTGCTCCCTGGCAGTGGCCCACTAGGCTCCTGTTACACTGCCTCTCCCCTGCCCAGCGTGCATGTCCTAGAGGCCTAGGGCTCACTCTAAATGTCTCTGGCCACATATGAGGAGAAAGGCCTTAATTCCCCTCCTCACCAGCTTCATTTCTCTGGCACTGGGAAAGCTGGCACCAAGATCTGCTCTCACTCGGCCCAAGCTGCCACAGGAAAGAGGCTGCCCTGCTCTCTAGGTAGCTGCATCAGGTGCTCGGGGGGAGTATGGAATGACGCATAATTCCTGCTGCTACTCCCTGCTGGCTGTATGTCCTTGAGCCAACTTCTTAGCCTCTCTGATCCTCCTTTTACATGAAAAATAAGCAGACTGACATCTGATTCACAGGTCTGTTCTTGGAGACCTGAGTGAGGATTGTATGTCCGGCTCCTGATGCATAGTGAGCAAGTTCCGCCTCCAGGAACTCGACGCAGACCAGCAACTGTGTTCATGTTCTTTCCATCTGACCATTGCCATTTTGTTTCACAGGAGATCTGTGAGAACCCCCGGTTCATCATTGGTGGAGCCAACAGAACTGACATCTGCCAGGGAGACCTAGGTAGGATTGCCCCCTCATGAATGTCCCCTCATCTGCCCTGCCAGGTGATCCAGGGGTGACTATAAGGTGTTGTACCTCTGGGAAAGGGATAGCCATCCCCAGTGGCATGTCCCCTAGTCTTACCTTCCAGCTCAAGGCCACTGCCACTCTCTGCTCAGCCCTGCTTTCCCCTGTCCTTCCTCCTTCCAAGCTAGCTGTATAGCCAGCATTCCCTTCAGCGTAGCAAAGCTGCACAAACTTGAAAAGCACAGACCACTGAAGGGCCCTTCCACTGTCCCCAACAGGTCACAATAAGGGGAGACCTTTCCAAAAAAAAGCCACCTTTTGCCAGGAGGATGGGCAGCCAGGGATGTGTTTTCGTTGAGCCTTCTGTGGTGAGGAGCTGGGCCAGCTCTGTACTATGCACTTGGTGAGAACCTCCACTCATGGAGAAAGGGCCCCCAAGACCAGTGAAAGGGCCTGAGCTTGGTGGGCTCTTAGAAGATAGGTTGAGGGGAGGCTGGGATCCGGATTCCTACCCCAGGTTGCAGGACAGCTGCCTGCAGGGCCCTGAGAAGCCAGTGACCTTCTGGCCTTTGTAACCAAGGCCCCTATTGCTTCTTGGCCCTTTAGTTAAGATCAAGTGAAACCAGGACCCCACTTGCCAGGCAGGGACAGGGCAGGGCCTGGCAGCTCTCAGTCTCTGCCCTGTTCTTTCAGCATTGCAAGTACCTCAACCCTAGACCTGCCAGCATGCACACTAGCTGTGCCTTTAGGCTTTTCCTCATCCTGTCTGTCTGTCTGTCTGTCTGTCTGTCTCTCTCTCTCTCTCTCTCTCTCTCTCTGTCTGTCTCTCATTTCCACATATCCAGAGCAAAGTGACTATAGAGTCCTCTTCCCAGAAGCAACCCGGGAATGAGAAAATGCCCACATCTCATCCCTTCTTGCTGTCCTCTGCAGATTGACTCCAGGGCTTTACTCACAACACAACAAAGATCTCTGGGTTAATGGTGACTGGAAACTTGGTCATTGCCCAGGTTACAAAGGACAAAAGGACTCATACCTTGGTGCTGTGGGGCTGGGCAACTCTCAGCAGCTGTTAGGAAGAATGAGCTAATCATGATTGCCTATTGTCCTGTCTCTAGTGAGGTACAAAAGAAAAGTGAATTCCTATTGCAAAAGGAGGACTTGCCTGGGCTTCAGGTGAAGGTACAGTCCCCAGACCTTGTGGACTGTAGCCATGAAGTCTGGCCAGAGTCTCCCTCCATAGTGAGGTCCTCCATGAGGTCAGATCTGGAAGCAGGATGCCAGGCACCAGGAAAATCCTTATTCTTCCAAGGGAGTGGGACTGCCAGCTGGTTTGGGGTCTTCCTGCCCCCTGGAGGGCACCCTAATACAGCCCATGCCACGTGTCCACCTACAGGGGACTGCTGGTTCCTCGCAGCCATTGCCTGCCTCACCCTGAACGAACGGCTGCTTTTCCGTGTCATCCCCCATGATCAGAGCTTCACCGAGAACTACGCAGGCATCTTCCACTTCCAGGTGAGCAGTGGCAGGTGCAGTGGCAGTGGTGGTCCACTGGTCTCATACCTCGACTTCCTTAGCAGCTTCAGGAAGTGTTCTACCATCTCCACCATGAGAATGGGCAGGGACCCCCCTCACAGCTTCCAGTTGATTTTTCACCATACTACCCCTACTCCCTCTTCACCCGCCCCCCAACTTCCACTGTATTCCAGAAAGTTAAAAGTCCTGGTTGCTGACTGGTGGGTTTGTTGTCACTCCCCAGCCAGCTGTCTGCTATGTTGCTGTCCTTCTCAAACAAGTGCAAGGAGTGTCTGCATCAGCAAATCTGAGGACTTTGGGCTGTTGTAGAGAAGACGTGGAGCCATGACCCTCAGCTCGTGCGCATTTCTAGTCGCTTAGGGCAGGCCATCCAAGCCCATCACTCACCTCTTCTAGGCTCAGGAAGGTGATGTGTCTGCTTGCCTTGAACCTCAGGCCTGACAACCCTAGAATTGTTATCGCTGCCCTCAGAACATAGGAGAAGCGGCAGGCCCACAGCTGCTTTGGTTTTCTGATTCGTCCAACTAGCAGTGTCCCTTCCATCCCAATATTTTAAAGGCCTGGTAATATCCAAAGGACCTCAATGACCAAGGCCAGATAGATCTTCTGTCCTCTGGCTCTTTGTCAGTTACAACTGACAGGACTACTACAGCTGGGCAGTGATGCTACTCCAGCCACCCTTCCCCATGGGTGACACCCTTCCTGCTTCTATAGTGACTGCCTGGTTAGTCATCACAAGCACTGCATGGCCTTTTCACCCAAACCAACAGTTCTCAACAGAGCCACCTCAACACATAGACACCCAGGCCCTGCCCCCGACTCCCCAGTCCTGGGGTAGTCACCAGGTACCTGCTATCCCCTGCTCCAGGCTGGATCCTACAGGATATACCAAGTCTTGTGTGATTTATTCCCTGTCCTCAGGGCACTCATTCTAAAAGAGGGAGAACTACTCCCCACCCCAAGCTCAGAGGAGCAGGAGGCAGCACCCGGCTTCTGGGCCTTGGAAATGCTGTTGTTTTGGAAGCCAAGAGCCCCTTGCAGGAGGTAGGATCTGAGCTGGGGACCCTCTGCTTGTTCCCACGCAGTTCTGGCGTTATGGAGACTGGGTTGATGTGGTCATCGATGACTGCCTGCCTACCTACAATAATCAACTGGTTTTCACCAAATCTAACCACCGCAATGAGTTTTGGAGTGCTCTGCTGGAGAAGGCTTATGCCAAGTAAGGCCACCCCGTGGAAGGGATGATGATGATGTGTGTGTGCATGCACACACATGAGGGCCAACCTAGGTCTCCCTCAGACTTGTACATGTGTGTGTCCACTGGGAACCAAAGTTAGAGCAGTACCCCCAGCAATCAGAAAAAAACATGAAGTTAGAGAAGGTTTGTATTGGAAACTTTTGGCTCCCTGCAGCATGTATTTCCATTCTGTGCTGGTGCAGATCTTGGCTCCAAGCATCCTTTCCTCTGGAGCTCTGACCCCAGAGCCTGACCTGGTGGCTTGGCCTCTGAAGTTTGCAGTATTTTCATAGGCATCACTTTCTGCTCCCTACCCGCCCGCCCCCAATCCCACTTGGAGACTCCTCCTCAGATGCTAATGGCTTCCAGGTTCAGAATGCAGCAGTAGAAAGAAAACCATCAGGCCATGGGGATGGTGGGAATGGGGATGGTGGGAATGGGGATGGTGGGGATGCTGGCTCTCTGGCCTTGGGTGAATTGCTTGGCCTGTTGAGCTTAGCGCTGCATGTAGGGTGATGGGGAGGTGATCATATCCACAGCATCCAGGGCTGCCACTGTGCTGGTGGCTGCTGCTTGAACCAGCTGCATTGAGTTCTGTGGCCTGGTCAGTCTCCATACTTTTTCCAAGGCTACATGGTTCCTATGAGGCTCTGAAAGGTGGGAACACCACCGAGGCCATGGAGGACTTCACCGGAGGGGTGACCGAGTTCTTCGAGATCAAGGATGCTCCCTGGGACATGTACAAGATCATGAGGAAGGCCATTGAGAGAGGCTCCCTCATGGGCTGCTCCATTGATGTAAGTGTGGGGCCTGGGGCACTGGATAGCACCACAGAACCATCTTTCTGGGACCGAGAAAATGTTGTTGCTTCAGGAAACTGGAAGTCACTCTGAATCTTGACAACTTGGCATGTCTCAAAAGGGAGGAGTTCCCAGAGATGGCCAGTCAAGAGGGCAAGGACATTCTGAGCCCTGGTGTTAGGGCAGAGAGATGCAAGGGGCCCCTCAGTCCATGGATTCTCAGCCATCAGAGCTGTACAGTCCCAGCCCGGTCCCATTCAGCTGACCACATCTCTGATACAGGCTTCCCATTTTCCCTGGAGAACCTCCTGGTCATTGAGTTTGGCCCCATCCCTGACCTGGATGTGGGCTTTACACTGTTATCTGGGAGGAGGTTGGCCTGCAGGGCATCTGTACAACAAGGGGACAGAAGCTGAGAACGAAGGGCAAGGAGATAGCAGTTCACAGCCAAGCCTCCTGGGCCCCAGGAGACCTGCCTTACCTGAGAGCTGCTCAAGGTGGCGGAGGGGGCAAGATGTAGGTAATCCCTTGTCCTCACAGTGGCTGGGGGAAGCCTGAAGCATCTGGGCACCAACTCCACAGGGACAGTGTCTGCATGTTTTTGCCTCTCTGCCTGTCTTCTCTACTGATCTTTCCTTATCTGTCCCTTCCCTTCTCTCTACTTCCTATCCTTTCCACCCTCCTTTGTTTGCTCCCTGTCCTGTCCCGGGGTGTACCCCCCCTGCCCAACCCTCCCTCGTCGGGTCTCAGGATGGCACCAACATGACCTTTGGAACCTCTCCTTCTGGCCTCAACATGGGGGAGTTGATTGCGCGGATGGTGAGGAATATGGATAACTCGCTACTGAGGGATTCAGACCTCATACCACAAGGCTCAGATGACAGACCAACCCGGGTGTGTAAATCCTGCATTGTCCATGCTGACCCACAGTCCTCCTCCCTGCTCAGCTGCATACCCAGCCCCCTGGCCTTGTAACTGTCCGACTCCTTGTGGCATCTTGGTAGACAAAGCGAAGTCTTGGGCTCTGACCCCTGGTCCACTGCCCCACTGCTCATAGTGCTCATAGTCTCATGGGCTCACTCTTTCACACACTATGCAGGTTCGTGGGAGGCACCTGGGCCTCACAAGAAAACATGGAGGAAAATGTAACCTCTGCTTTCCACTTGATCGCTCCTCGTTCACTAAATGTCCTTCTGAGATTGTCCTCTGCATGCAGTCACACTGTGACTGAAAGGATGTCATGTTGCATGTACTTCTTGGCAACCTTTTCCAGTTGGCTTTCTATTAAATGTGCTTTCTATTAAATGGCTATTCTCCTTTAACATTTTTAATAGCTGTGCAGTACAACACAATGCACAAGGGTTATCATTTCCTTACCCAAGATCCTCTTATTAAAAAGCTAGAGTCCTTTTTTCTTTTTTTGGGGGGGGGGAGCTGGAAGGGTGCTACTATTCAAAATGCCAAATTCTTGTATCTGTGTGAATCCAAGATAAATTCCACAGGATAGATCTCACACACACACACACACACACACACACGTACACACACACTCTGAAATGCACTAGCTGAAACCGTGAAGGCCCTGTCTAGGGCACCTTGGGCTTTGGAGATCCTACCTTCCTGCCCAAGCATCCCACCCAGGGTTCCAACTTATACCTATTTACAAATGGACAAGCACTGGACCCATATCTGAGAATAAAGGTCCTCTGAATCCATTCCTTGGGTGCTGGGGCTCATGAGGGTTCTGTTATCCCATTTCAGGTGGCTGTTAAAGGGGTAATGGGACAAAAAGAAGGGTTAGACCTATGAGAGTACTTTCAAAGATTCATGGTAAAATGTAATCTGAAGATACATTTATTTTTGTGTAGAATTTTTAAGCTCCATATGATTTTTCCCCAGTACATATTTTTCATGAACCATGTGAGGACCTGTATGTGCAGATTTCAAAATGGCTTTGAAGTAAACTTTTCTTTTCATTGTGTTTTCCACATACGTTTTGAAGTCACCTCGACTGTACTTCATCAAATCTCTCCTCTTGGTCCCTTTCTCAGCTAGAAACTCAATCCTGGCTGAGCTCAGGGAGGGAGGGAGGAGCCTGGCCTTCATGGTGCCCCCACCACTTAGCTTGCTCCTGGGACGGCACCAAAGTGTTAAAGGGTCAGTGAGGGTCTGCTGCTAGTGACGGGGGCCAGGGAGTTCCAGGAACCAGCCAGTGTGAGCTTTGCAAGGAGCAGAGCTCTGGCTCCCAGCTGCTGATGGACTGCCTGGTGTTTGCTCCACAGACCATCGTCCCTGTCCAGTATGAGACAAGAATGGCTTGTGGCCTGGTCAGAGGTCATGCCTACTCAGTCACAGGGCTAGAGGAGGTGAGTCTGGTGGGACATAGCAGGGCTTGGGGGCCTCACCTGGGTTGACCTCTGGAAGTCAGAACTTGGGTACCCTTCTTCCCCAACTGCAGGGTTTAGCGTCCAGCCAGGGGATTCCACTCAAGGACAACACCACATGCCCTGGGGGTGGAGGGACCCTCAGGAATACCCTCTTTATCCATGCTTTTAGTGCTAAGGTTGCGAGTTTCCCAGTGTTTCCAAGGAACAAACAGAAGCATGTTTTGTGGTTTCTCTCATTTTGTGCTCTGACAATATCAATGTTTTGTTCCCTCCTGGGTCATGAGAGACAGGGACCTTGTCAGGCCTGTCACACACAGTCGAGCAGGTGGTACACAGGAACTTGCAGCCAGTGGGAACAAGGAATGCTCATTCGTTCTTTCTTTCTTCCTTTCTTTCTTTCTTTCTTCCTTTCTTTCTTTCTTTCTTTCTTTCTTTCTTTCTTTCTTTCTTTCTTTCTTTCTTTCTTTCTTTCTTTCTTTCTTTCTTTCTTTCTTTCTTCCTTCCTTCCTTCCTTCCTTCCTTCCTTCCCTCCTTCTTTCCTTTCTTTCTTTCTTTCTTTCTTTCTTTCTTTCTTTCTTTCTTTCTTTCTTTCTTTCTTTCTTTCTTTCTTTCTTTCTTTTACTATTATTGTTTTTTATTCTTATTTTCCATTTCACAGCTTTGTAGGTATAGGGCTTCCCCGCTTTCCGTCTCTATTCTCCCTCCCACATCTCCCCTCCCCAATGTCCCCTGTATTTTACAATAATATAGTTCTTTAGCTAAGTCTCGACTCCAATTTTTTTATGAGATTTTAGATGTAAGCAATGGTAGAGAGTCTAGTATCTTGTTGTCAGGGTATATTTGACAGTTTTGGGGGTTCCACCTTTTATTCGGGAGTAGAGATACATACTGCAGCTCACTGATTTAGCTGAAAGCAGCTTTTGTTTGCAGTTCTTAACAGGGGTCATCTGTTAATTCTCACCTAGATTTCTAAATTCTTATGAAGGGTCTATCCCATACCCCCTGCTTCTTCCCAATGGCTGCTGTAGCCTTGGCTGTGCTTTGGGAAAGCACTCCTCAGAAGATATGGAGGAGACCACCATGCCTTGACTCTTAAGGCTCGGCAGTGAGCTGCTGGCTGGTCTCCTGGGCCCAGGCCAGCCAGGACAAAGCCAGCATCCCCACAGGGCTTCATTACTTGGCCCCATCCCAGTCCTCTGGGCAGCACAGAAGAACCTGTTTCTAGAAGTCTCCTCACATGAGAGCTTATCTTTGCCCAAGGCCCTGTTCAAAGGTGAGAAAGTGAAGTTGGTGCGCCTACGGAACCCTTGGGGCCAGGTGGAGTGGAATGGATCTTGGAGTGACGGGTAGGTAGGGGTGACAAACAGAGGTGACCTGGAGGGTGGGAGATGTGCATTCTAAGAGAATCCTTTGTGCCCCACCAGTTGTCTCCTCTGCTGGTCTAGCTCATCCTTGCGGTGACCCAGCCTCGAACATCCAGCCAGCCTTGACCTCCTTCCAGTTGGTGGCTCCATTGTGGTGGCTGCTGACAGTTGAGTTCTGCTCAGTGAATCAGGAACACACATGAGCTGTCTTCCTTCCCTCTTTAAGAAGAGAGTGTGTAAAACTCTCGTGGCCTTTAGCCACCCAGTGGTGGGCTGTGTCCTGGCCAGATGGGTATCCTTGGCCTTTTTCTTGGTCAAGCTCAGGTGGTTTCTCATACAGTGGGTGCTAAGCTCATGGTGTGGTAGTGGGATTCCATGTGCTTGCCCCAGCCTTGTGAGGAGTGATAAAATCTCTTGCCTCCTGAAGCTGAGGAACCAGAGCTGGTAGGTGACCTAATTGGCCCAAAGTGACATAGCAAGAGCTATCACTGAATGGCAACCCCAGTTGGTCTGTTTCCAGAGCCCAACTCAACCTTTCAGATGTGTGGGGGAGCAAAGATTCCACCAGAAAAAGGGATAAATCCCTACAAATACACCCAGACTCTAGTCTTTGTGGGGAGGGTTGTGGGAGGTCGTGGCCTGGGTTTGTACAGAAGGTAATGAATTGGATGGGCCTTGTAATGGTCCATGCCAGCTACAGCACTGAGATGGCCTGGTCCTGTAGTTTGCCCATACTTGGTAACCATGCCCATTCCAACACATATCAAGCCCCGTTTTCTTCCCCTCACACCCTGTCTTTCCTACCAGCTGGAAGGACTGGAGCTTCGTGGACAAAGACGAGAGGGCCCGTCTACAGCACCAGGTCACTGAGGATGGGGAGTTTTGGTGAGTACACAGGTAGGAGGGCTGAGCCGGGCAAGGGCTGGCATAGAGGGATAAAACCTCAAGCCTCCATGGCTAGACAGAGGCATCTGACTCCAGCACGTGGGATATCTGGGCCTGACCTCCCTACTCCTCCTCCAGTCCAAGACTGGAAAGATGGATGTCTAAGAGGAACCTAGCAAGTCTCCATGATGACTGAGCCAGAATCCAGGCAATGTACCTTGGCCTTTGTATCACCTGTGCCCACACTGCTGAGCCACTCATGCTCTGTGGCTGTAACACAGCTCTCCTCTGAGCACATGAAACTGAACTTACCCTGATCTCTCAACGCTACCCTTGACCTGGAGTCCCAGCTTCTAGAGGAGCTTCCTTGAGGACCCCTAAATGCACCTGTGTTCATGATGCTGTTCACCTTAGATGTTGCTTTCTGGCTTGTCCTCTCCCAAATGATCCCAGGGCTTAGCACCGTGTGTCCATCAAGACAGGAGATCTGAATTTCTGTTGCACTTTCCCAGCCAGGATGCAAGAGTTTAATTAGTAGAAGGTATGAGAGTGTCTGGGAATAAATACATCAAAAATTGACAGTGTTCACTCTAAACAACAGCTAGCACCCTGTGAGGGCACTGACCAAATGCCTTTGGTCGATTGAGTTGGGCAAGGAAGCTCAACAGTCTCCGCTTTGCCCTACTTCTGCACTGTTCTCTCTACCCCTCATTCCATTCCCCAGGATGTCATATGAGGACTTCATCTTCCACTTCACTAAGCTGGAGATCTGCAACCTCACGGCTGACGCCCTGGAGTCTGACAAGCTCCAGACCTGGACCGTGTCAGTGAATGAGGGCCGCTGGGTGCGAGGCTGTTCTGCTGGAGGCTGTCGCAACTTCCCAGGTGGGAGACACTCCACAGAGGCAAGGAGGGGAGGTTGGCCAGCAGTATAAGTGCTGCCAGGCAGGGTGACCTTGACATTGACCTTGGCTGTCCTCTCCTGAGCTCCTACTGCGGTCCTGACATGCAGCACATCTGTAAACCCTCCCCATGTTACTAAGGAGGACACTACTGTGCTCCAGAGTTGACAATGGGGAGCTGATAGCAACTTTTATTAAGGGTATGTTTACGTAAGGCAGAGTTAGAGAAGGGAAGAGGCAGAGAGCTGGCAATCATGTTTGAGCAGTAAACTGATTCAGAACAAGCACAGGATGGCCCTAGAGGACCACGTGGGCTGCTAGTGCAGAAGTTCAAGCTGGGGGCTGGATATGTGGGAACATGTACAGGGTGATATGTGGGACAGAAACAATGAGGAATGACATCAAGAATGGCAAGGAGTTTAGTTTGGGACATGGGAAGGTTGAGGTGCTTATAGGATACCAAGATGAAGATTTTCAATAGAGTTAGATGGATGAACTAGAAGGACACATGATAATAGGCTAAGTCCTGCAAGCTGGAGCCCTGGGCCACCAGTAGTGCAGGCTCAGTCCCAGCCTGAAGGCATCTGGAGCAGGGAAACGGCTGGTGTCATTCTGGGTCCAGGCTTAGAGGCTTGAGAACCCCAGGGGGAGGGAGGCACTGGCTGGAGTGGTCAGAGGCCTGGGCTTTCATGGCCAAGGGCAACAGGAGGAGGAATGGACAGGAGTGGACCACATCTTACTTCTGCCTTTCTGTTGCATCCCAGCTGTTTGAATGGCTCCCCTTGGCAGGGAAGGTGACCTCTGCCCACTCTGTGGCCCACCTGTGCTGCAGCCACAGCAGGAAGAATGGCCTCACCCTACTGAGCTGCCACCCCAAGTTCACTGTCCCCTGGGAACTAGGGAGAAACAGTTGCCCCAACTGCCTTCCCTCCCTGTTCTCTCTCTGTGGGGCAGAACTGAATGTGCTCGTTTCCTTCTGTGTGGGGTTGCAGACACGTTTTGGACCAACCCCCAGTACCGACTGAAGCTCCTGGAGGAGGACGACGATCCTGACGACTCCGAAGTGATCTGCAGCTTCCTGGTGGCCCTGATGCAAAAGAACCGGCGGAAAGACCGCAAGCTGGGGGCCAACCTCTTCACCATTGGCTTCGCCATCTACGAGGTGCGCCAGCCCTGGGGCCACCACCTTCCCACCCAGGGCAGCTTCGGGACTTCCTCTGAGCTCAGGCACCCCTAGCCCAGCTTTGCTGGAAACAACCAGGAAACATGGGGAAGAGGGACTGGGCCAGTTGGCAGGACCCTGGCGGTAGGGGGTGGGTCACAGGTCTGCCTGCCTTCCCTCTGTCCTGGTGGCCACTCCCTCCTGCAAGTTCCACATCCTCATTCTCACCCAAGGCACCTTCTGTTTTTCCCCAAGGTTCCCAAAGAGGTACAGCAGTGGCAGCAGCTGGTCATGGTGGGCGTCGCCTGTGGTGCCTGCATTTCTCTGAGTCTCCGTGTGTGGTCCACGGGCAGGACAGGCCACGGCTGGCCCCGTGACCACCATCCCTACATTGAGCACTGCTGCCCTTTCTCCCTCCCTGCCCCCAGACACTCCACCTGCCAAGGCACACACACACCTACTTGGACACACTCCTGGATACTGCCCAGGGTGGCTGCCCCCTTGTGGAGTGGGGTGGGGTGGGATGAGGACAGTTGGCTCCCTGAGAGCCCAGGCAAGCCCTTCTCCCTAGCTGGAAGGGTCTCTGGTGAGTGGTATCTGGGTAGGGCAGACTTGACTTGGTGCCTCTGAGTCAACAAAAAGGAAGAGGAGGTGAGGTCAGAAATCCCCATGGGTTGAGCTATGTGAGGCCATGGGACCCAAAAGTGGATGATCAGGAGGTTGGGAGGAGACACTGAGGGGACCATGGGCAGGACAGGGTGTCCTCTGGCCAGGGCTCCCATGGTGAGCTCTCCTGTCCCCCAGATGCACGGAAACAAGCAGCACCTGCAGAAGGACTTTTTCCTATACAACGCCTCCAAGGCCAGGAGCAAGACTTACATCAACATGCGGGAGGTGTCCCAGCGCTTCCGCTTGCCCCCCAGCGAATACGTCATTGTGCCCTCCACCTATGAGCCCCACCAGGAGGGTGAATTCATCCTGAGGGTCTTCTCGGAAAAGCGGAACCTCTCAGAGTAAGTACTAGCCCCACAGAAAGCTCACATGGTCCATTCTAGAGACTTGGGGTCCTGAGCCAGGTTGTACCTGTTCCCCCACTCCCCACATGGCCACTATCCACTAGTCCATTTCTTCAATGATCCTGGAGATGTTTCCTGAGAATCTGTCACAAACACATTCCAGGCCCTCAAGACTACAGCAGTAAACAGGAAGAAAGCCCTGTGTTCATGAGGTTAATGTCCCAGCATGGGACAGGAACCGCTTATGGTACCTTGCATTGGAAGAAATCATAGGGAGCAAATCAAAGTAGGGAAAAATGATAGGAAAGGTTGGGGGTGACTGATGTCTTCCATTAGGGGGAGCCCAGAAAACTAGCATGGCCACATCCGTCCTTGGGCCTTGACCTCAACACTGAGTTAAAAGGCTGGCCACTCTGCTCGTTGTCCCCAGAAGTGGTGCCATGTCCATGGGGGTAGGCATCTGGGTCATCCCTCGGCCAGCTCTGGCCAGCACCAAAAAGATCCCCCCATCCTGGGTGTGGCAGTTGGGGGTGGTGCCTGGGGTGGGAAATGCTAATGTAGAGGGTTCTGTTGAGGCGCACCTGACTTGGTCACTGTGGAGCCAGGTGACCTGTACAGATCCTCCAGGTGCTTCTGCTGGTTCCTGGTGGACAGACACGAAGATGCTGTCATGTTTGTACCCTCACAGGGAAGCTGAGAATACAATCTCTGTGGACAGACCCGTGGTGAGTTGTTGTTATTCTGTTCTTGAAGTATCAAAAGACAGATGACAAAGAGGGAGGGAGATTTTCCATTTGCTTGTTCACTCACCTGGAAGTTCACTTTGAGATAGGCTGAAGTCAGGGACCAGGAACTACATCCGGGTCTCCCGTATGAATTACAGGGGTACTTGGACCATCATCTGCTGCTTCCCAGGAAGCTAGTTAGGTAGTGGATTAGCAAGGACGCCAGTCTGGCACTCCGATATGGGATGGCAGCATTGCAAGTGGAGGCTTAGCGCACTGCACCACAATGTTGGACTGTTTTGTTTTTTTGATAGTGGAGTGTTGTTTGTTTAGCTCTTTTGAAAAAGGTCACATTGTCTGATCTAGTGATCTAGGTAGAAGACAAGTAGTGATGGCACAGAGGACAGAGCTTGGCAGAGGGATGGGGGTGGCCAGGCAGTGCAGAGCAATCCCTGCATGTAGCTGTAACTTCTGCTGGGCATGGCCACAAAGGGGCCTTCTGGAAGAAAGAAGGGAGAAGCAGTCCGAACAGAGGGAGGAAATGAGGGCATTGGAACTGACAAGAGCAGTGGTTGACTTTGGATTGAGGCTAGATAACATTTGACTTCTGATGTATGTGTATATATATATGTGTGTGTATGTGTATATATACACATTTAATTTTATTTTTAATTTTATGATACAATTCCACAGGCTCTGGGATTTTCCTTACTTCCTCCCCAAACTCCCTCCTCCCCTCAACTGATTTTCCCCATATTGTAACAATGGTATAGTCTTTCATAAGCAGTCATAAGTCCATTATTGTGCTAAATTCTGATACATTTTTTTTAAAGGCCTATCAGCTCTGGACCCAGCACCAAAACCTGGGTTCTTTTAAATTAGCTTAGTGGTCTGGGCTGATGACATGGTGACATGGCCCCTCTGAGTCAATTTCCTGTTCTCCGTATAAAGGGCATCAAGTGACTTCCAAGGCCTTGGTGAGGCCTAAATCCACGGGATGGTATATGTGAAGCCCCTGGCCCATCATGGGCACTGCCAAGGAGGTCATCACTCGGGTCTTCTCCCCATGTCCTGTGTCATGGATGCCGCACAGTCTAAAATGTAGGCAGGTTTATCATCAGGCGTGGGGCAGGGCTGGGGTAAGGGACCCAGGGAACGTGCTGGTGACTGTCCCAGAATCCTGGGACCTGAAGAGGCCGCCGTCCCTGGGAATGGAGGGTGCACCCAGGGCCTCTGGGGGGAAAAGGGCTCTCTAGGCACTTCTCTGCAAGCAGCTCTCTGCCCACTGTCCTGTAGCTGTGGCAAGTATCCAAGCCTCCTAGGACAGCACTAGGCACGCTGGGTGCTTTTTTTTTTTTTCTTTTTCATGATACAGTTCCATAGACTCAGGGATTTCCCCTTCCACCCTCCTCACTTCCCTTCCCCCCACTACTATTTTCCTCTATATGATTACAATAATATAGTCCTTCAACAGTCACAAGTTTGTCATTTAAGTGTAGGTAGACAATGGTAGAAAGTCCAGTGTCCTATTGTCAAGATATATTTAAGAGTTTGAGAGTCCATTTATTCGGGAGTAGAGATGCATACTGTATCTTCACTTCTTGGTATGCTAGCTTCCATTATAGAGTTTTTCTAAGTGAACATATGTATATACATGTTTATATATCTATTGATCTTGTATTTTGCATGAAAATTGCCTTATATCAGAGAGGATGTGGGATATTTGTTCTTTGGGATTGGCTTATTTCACTGAGCATAATGGTCTCTAGCTGGGACCATTAACCAGGTTTTATTCTGAGCCTCTGATTCCTGCTAATTAGGAAACTCAGGCTCAAAGACGTGTGGTAATTGGCATGTCCCCTGGGAGAGCGAGCATCGGGAGGGGTTTTGGTGTCCCAGTGCTGGTGTACTTGTGTGGAGTTCTCAGGTGACACCTGGCTTCAGTGCCAGAGTGGCAATTATGATCTGGAGAGTTGGCCGCCCCCAGCTCATCTGCTAATTCCCATGGGTGCCCCAGGCTCACTGCTAATTTTGCTCAAGATACCCCAAACCTGGATTCCTCCCTGCTACATGTTTGCTCAAAAAAAATGTTTTTTAAGAAATATTTCAAAACTCATTTTTAGGACAGTTTGAGCCACATTTTTATTTTGGTGTTGAAGCAATTTTATTTATTTTTTTTAATGTATTAGCCAGATAATTTTCTTTCCATGGTTATGTCAGTAACAGTGGATTACAGCAGCAAAGCCATGGCAGCAGCCAGGCTCCGGACATGGAGGAAGGATAACAGAGAATTCTTCCCTCCCTCTGCACTCTGTTCCTTTCTGAATCATTTTCTGATACATTTCTGGTTCCATTTAACCCTGATTCCTGGATCCTGGAGCCCCAATCCAAATTTCAGGATCAGGATTCAGGGAAGCTGAAAGGTGCTGGATGTCCTTGGAACTTTCTTTTCACATATTCTACATTTACTGTTTCCGTTTCTTATACAGAAGAAGAAAAAAGCCAAGGTGAGTATAGCAGGGTGAGTGGGTGGAAAGCTGTGTGTTTGTGTGTGTGCATGTGCGCATGCACGGGGTAAGGTATGTGTGCATGAGCTTACGTGTGCGTTCACCAGGTGCACCCCTTCCTCCCCTCTGCCTTGAGCTCCCGATTGGACCCAGTGTGCAGCAGTAATGGCTGACACAGCTGAGGGGAGCTTACCAGCTGGACTTTCTATGAATTAACTCGATGCTCACCACAGCCCTGTGAGATTGGTACTGTTAGTACCCCCATTTTCTGAAGGGTGAAGGGGAATAGATGGACTAATATACACAAGGCTGCACCACCAGAAAGTGGTGGGGCCAGTGCTGGGGACCAGGGGCCCCAGAGCCTGCTCTGAACCACCGCAGCCATCACATAAGGCCTGGTGTCAATGTGGATGGCGCAGCCTGGACACTGTCTCCCAGAGGTCCCATGAGCCCTAGCTCTGGTGCTGAGCAGACACGCAGCAGGCAGCTAGCACACGCAGGCACTGTGCTGGGAGCAAATCACTTCTTGTTCCAGCACTGTGTATGAGGTTCATGCTTTGTCTGTTCCCTTCACAGATAAAGTCCAGGATCAGGAAACAGTGTGTGTGGGGAAAATGGATGATAATCTATCTGCTGCAACACCAGCTTCTTGCCAACCCCTCTAAAGTGTCTGTACTCCAAGGTCCATGCTGGCACTACCCACACTTAAGCCCTTTGTGGTAGGAACGCCCCATGGCCACACCATGTCCAAAGACACCCCTTTCCTTGGCTGTGGCCTACATATCTTCTCAGATCTTCCTAAGCTTTCATTACTGGAGCTAGAGATCCTTCGCTTAGAAGGCAGAGCAGGCCAGGGGCTTCTTGGAACCAGTGTCGGGGTATTGTGGTCGCTTGTCTGACTCACTGCATGAAGGCAGAGGGTCAGGTTGCTTTTCTGCTCTGAGGGCCTGTCCTCCACACCCTACCTCCCTGTCCTGGCTTTCACTGCAGGCTGCAGGCGTGGCCTACACTCCCTCCTTATGCTTCTCTTCATGTGCATGAGCATGTCTGAAACACAGCCTTCCTGTGTAGCACTTGATATGTTTCCACAGTTACAGTTGTATGGTGCTTCTTTGATTCCTATAAAAACTCTAAGGAAGAGGAAAGGCTTGTGCTTTTTTTTTTTAAGATTTATTTTTCTTGGAAAGGCAGATATACATAGAGAGGAAGATCTTCCGTCCATTGATTCACTCCCCAAGTGAGCGCAACAGCCGGTGCTATGCCGATCCAAAGCCAGGAGCCTCTTCTGGGTCTCCCACGCGGGTGCAGGGTCCCAAAGCTCTGGGCCGTCCTCGACTGCTTTCCCGGGCCACAGGCGGGGAGCTGGATGGGAAGCGGGGCTGCCGGGATTAGAACCTGCACCCATATGGGATCCCAGGCGTGCAAGGCGAGGACCTTAACCACTATGCCATTGCGCCGGGCCCTGCTTGTGCTTTACATACCCATTTTTGGAGGAGTGAGCTGAGGCTAGTGTTCTCCTAGAGGAGGGGCAAGGGCTAGGCTCTAGCCACTGCCATATTATGACCTCTTCCTCACCAAGTACTATCAAGTACTCATCAGTCTTTCTTTAAGATTTATTTTGGGGTCGGTGCAGTGGTCTAGTGGCTAAAGTCCTCGCTTTGAACACACTGGGCCTCCCATGTGGATACAGGGTCCCAAAGCTTTGGGACGTCCTTGATTGCTTTCCCAGGCCACAAGCAGGTAGCTGGATGGAAAATGGAGCAACTGGGACATGAACTAGTGCCTACATGGTATCCCAGCAGATGCAAAGTGAGGATTTAGCTACTAGGCTACCACGCCAGGCCCTGCTCATCAGTTTTTTAGGACTGATCTGACAGGCAGTGTGAAGAGAGTAGACAGATTTTTCACCCACAGGTTTACTCCCTAAGGGACTGCAATAGGCAGGACTGGGTTTGACTCGAGCCTGGATCTTGAAACTCCACAAGGGTTTCCTTCATGTATTTGGATCTGCTGCTTTCTCAGGAGCGTGAGCAGGAAGCTGGATCAGAAGTGAAGCAGTGAGGACTCAAATTGGCACTCTGATATAGGATGCCAACGTCACTCTAAAAGTGGTGGCTTAACCTTCTGTGCCACAATATCAGCTCCCTCTTTCTCTGAATCTTTTTCCTTCAGTACTTGACAGGGCCGCAGAGGTTGCTTCAAAGAGCTTCCATGGCCACTGAGCTGTGAAGGGTGCTAGGGATGGAGGGACACCCTCTGTTTTAAACCCAGGGGCTCTGTCATGGCTTCAGCATATTCTGGGAATATTTCATTGGAACAATGTTTCTAGGTGAAAAGATCTACAAAACCTGAGACTGTGCTCTAGATCAGGCTGCTGTATTGTTCTCACAGATACCCCTTCCTTGACTCTCGCATGATTGGGCAGGGGGTAGGTGTTCAGTGGAGGTCAAGTCGCACAGCCTGTTAGGGACAGAGCAGGAGTTTCCAGCTGTGGTCTTTTCCTATGCTCACTGGACAAGGCTGTAATTCTTTTTTTCCTGCCTGCCCCTCCCCACCTCCCGGCTCTCTCCAGCCCATCATCTTCGTTTCCGACAGAGCAAACAGCAACAAGGAGCTGTGTGTGGACCAGGAGTCCGAGGGCAAAGACAAATCAAGCCCTGATAAACAGGAGCCGTCCCCACAGGTTTCTCGGCATGTGACAATGCATGGGGCGGCCAGCGTTACAACAGGGGTGCTTGTGCTCTTGGGGTACCTGGAACTGGAGGAGTTCACAGGGCAGTGGTGTGGGGGGAGGGCGAAAGTCTAACATTTACAAGTTTGGATTTGTCCATTTCTGAAATCTCAAAATGGGGATGCCCCTTTAGGTTTGGCTGGTGGTCTCTTGTACATGTACATACATGCCCACCCCAGGATAGGAAAAGGAAGCCACACCTCCACCCTGCAGCTTCTGCAACCAGAACAGTGAGAGGGGAGAAGGGCTGAGCCCCAACAGCTTCAGTCTCCAAGCTCTTTTCTGCAAGGTTGCAGAGAAAGGGGACTGATGTCAGCAATGGGGAGGCAGGGGAGGGTGGAATGGGGAGAGGCTGTCATAGAAAGCTTAGTGAAGGTTGTCTTAAGGGGCAACATTCCCCGGAGATCCAAAGCCGCCACCTCTGACCTGGAGCGCCCAGGTCTGGCTTCTCTTTTACCCCCAGAGATGTGGCTTCTCTGGTCCCAGGTAACTGGAGGAATTGGAATAGTCAGATCACCACTTGGAGCACATTCAGCTGCAGTGGTGGGGCTAAAAACAGCGGGGAAGTCCCTGGCCCAGGGATGCTGAGGGGGCCCAGGGGACTGTCTGCATGTCTCCTGTGTCCCCTCAGCCTGCAGTGTGGGGCAGGGCTGGGGAGGGGCTGTTCTTGAAGGCTTAGGAGACTCACTGCAGAGCGGCAGCTCTCACCGAGAGGAGCACTTTGCCCTGTACTGGCTCGTGCCACCCCCATGGCTGCTCTAGGTACTGGGGCTCTGTCCAGACCCCAATTCCTGGAATTGGTCTTGCTTTGTACATCCACAGCCACAGCCTGGCAATACTAACTGGGAAAGTGAAGAGCAGCAGCAGTTCCGGAACATCTTCAAGCAGATAGCAGGTGATGTGAGTACCTGCAGCCCTGGCTTCTCCCGTTCCCTGCTTCCGCGACTAGCTGCCGCACTGCAGTCCGGAAGAAGGCATCCTTCATCTCAGTGGAAACGGCATGGCCATGTGTCCGTCCTTGAGTTGCTGACTGGACATGTTCACTGTGCAGCTCATAAGCCCTTCCATCCAGGGCTGTACTATCCAAACAGCTGAGGGTGCAGCATTAGAAAGCCCTTACTTCCTGGGATGGAGGAAGACAGGCAAGGAGTTGGCCAGCATGGTTGCCTGGGATTGGCTGCACAAAGTTCTTTCTCATTCCTCAGGAAATGGAGATCTGTGCAGATGAACTCAAGAATGTCCTTAACACATTGGTGAAAAAAGGTGTGTGGCTCAACCTGGCTGGGGGCGTGGCATGCTGGGTGCCAGGGCCAGGGGCCCCGGAGCCATGACTCACCCTCTCCATGCCCTCAGATCAGGACCTGAAGATGCAGGGGTTCACACTGGAGTCCTGCCGAAGCATGATCGCACTCCTGGATGTATCCTTCCTACTGCCCTTTTCCCCACCCTGTTACCTCTCTGTGGGGCCCAAGGCTGGGGTACAGGGTTCTGTCAGGCAGAGGGCCCAAATGTATGCCCGAGGAAAGGCCTCAAGAGAGTTGAATTAGGATGCCCTGCAAGGACTTCTTAGGGGCAGAGATAAGGGCTTGGGGCCCTGATAGCAGAAATGATCATAAGGCAAATGGCTCTGAATGTCAGAGCAAGAAGGAACCTCAGTGTGTAAGAGACCCCAGGTGGAGGGTTCCAGGGAGACTTCACTGTGTACCCTCTAGCCCTGAGCTCCCTCCTGCAGACCGATGGCTCTGGAAGGCTGAACCTGCAAGAGTTCCATCACCTCTGGAAGAAGATCAAGGCCTGGCAGGTGGGAAGGGAATCGGTATGGCAGACGAAAGAGGGGTGTTCAGGGATTCAACATGTGACCTCTCCTTACCCCCTCAATTTCTATGACCAGAAAATTTTCAAGCGCTATGACACAAACCAATCTGGAACCATCAACAGCTATGAGATGCGGAATGCCGTCAATGATGCAGGTGCAAGGGGAGATGGGTAGCAGGGATGTGGGCTGAGCTGGTGGCAGTAAGAACAAGGCTGTTCCCTGCTAGCTTGCTGTGTTCCTCTCCCAGGCATCAGTGGCCCAGACAGTGAAAACAAGCCACATGGGCGGGCTCCCGCCTCTCCCGTTCTTCCCCATAACACTCCCCTTCACAGGGTTTCACCTCAACAGCCAGCTCTATGACATCATCACCATGCGCTACGCAGACAAGCACATGAACATCGACTTCGACAGCTTCATCTGCTGCTTCGTCCGGCTGGAGGGCATGTTCAGTAAGTGGAGAACGGCCCTCCTGCCCTCGCACCCTCCTCCCTGGGATGGTGGGCATAGTAGCACTGTCTGCCCCATTACTCTCCCATGCAGTCTGTCTAGGTTCTCTTTGGGCCCAGAACAGAGTGGCAAAGGGAGGGTTACTGGCGAGCATGCACCTGTAGATACCTGTGAGGGAGGGCAGCCATAGCTCACAGACCGAGGACAAGCTGCTGTGGAGGTAGGGCGAGCCTGTAACTGGCATCTGCCCTGTTAACTCTTCCACACAGGAGCCTTTCATGCATTTGACAAGGATGGAGATGGTGTCATCAAACTCAATGTGCTGGAGGTAAGGTGTTAACCAATGCAGCATCTCCCCTTCAGCCCTACACCTTACCTTGCAAGGTGGAGGACTCGACAGGCAGCCTGGATCCACCACGTCTCCTCACTTCCAAATGGTGGTGGAGGGATGGGACAGGAAAGGACCTGGAGGATGAAAGCTCAACAGGGAATGTGGTTCACAAGGCACTGTGTAGTGGGGCAAAGTTTGTAAATGGGCTAGTTCCGAAAATGACCTTGCTGGAAAAGTTCTATTTTCCTAGGGAAGATTTGAGGGGACAGGATGCAGTAAACCACTGCTTCTCTAAACCTTTCTGGTATCTGGCATGTAGGGACTGTTCCCTTTTCCCCTGCCCCACAAGACCCTTAGGCAGAGCTGTGGGAGTTCTTTTCCTATGTTCTGATCTTGGGACTTGCTCTTCCAGTGGCTGCAGCTCACCATGTACGCCTGAACCAGGCTGGCCTCCACCAAGGCCATGCCAAGATCACTCAGGATTTAAACTGCACCCAATACAGTTAGAGCCACTTACCTCAAAGGACCCAGCAGCTGCAGCCCCTGACACATCTCCAGGTGCCTCATCGGTCTTGCTCCTTCCTCCTCCACTCCCTACTCAGCCTGGATGTGTCACGCCCAGCATAACCCCACAGTAAAGCAATGACATTGAGAGAACAGGTCTGTCCCTTGACCACATAGACAAATGTCTGCCTCAGCCAGCTGCAGCCAGGCTGAGGGGCTGGCTCTACTGCTGAGCTGCTGTAGCTCCAATATCAAAATGCCCTGCTGGCTTCACTCGGCCATCTGCATTCTCCTGCTGCAGCGCTCCAGGCTCTCCCAGTCATGGATCAGTAACCAGATGAGCAGCTCTTAGTTCTGATTGTTTCAGGGTGGGCCTATACGTGGTACACTCATTCAGCGGAACAGGGCCAGACACCTTGGGTTTCTGGACTCCTAAGTTTGGCTGCATTCTAAAACAGTTGCTCTCTAAATAAAAGCATTTGTATGGCTGGTTCTACTGTGTTTTGTTTTCTCACACCAGCCTTAGGGCTTCTGAGCATACACTCAACCTATCCCCTGTAGAAAGCCCTAGATTTAGCACAAAATGGAAACGCAAAAGCAAAACTCCAAGCCCCACTTTAATTATGCCCATTTTTGAGCAGAGTAATCACTTGGATACTTGTCCTGATCTTGTAAGGAAGAAAAAGTGGTTGGCAATGTATAGAACATTGCCATCAAATGGTTCACCCCAAAGCAGTCGAGCTAGTTCCCACAGTGAGATGAACAGGGGATGCTCTTTCGGGCCCTGGCTTCTGTGATCATCAACCTCTTGATGCTGGACAAAACGTTGAATACAGCCGTTTACCAAACTTATCAAGACTCCAGTCTGTGGCACATCTGTAAGTATCCCCTCCTTGCCTCTTAATGCCAGAATAGAAAAGGACGGACTATCAACAGGCAGACAAGGAAACAAAAGTAAACAGTCAATTAATAAAAGTACTTTATTTCTCTTGCATTTGCTTTATATCTCCCTTTACAAAGTTATGAATTTCACAGCTTTATACCAAAAGGTAAGAAGGGTAGGCTATTTGCTTATAAACATTTTTAAAGTCGCCTGGTTCTGTTCTTCTCATCCATATTCAATATTAAAAAAAATCAGAAACCAAAGATGCTGGAGCAGCTCTAGGACAAAAGATCTTCAACAGCCCTTCCTCCTGACCTCTGCCTTCCTTATGGCTGTGAATTCAGAGAAAACTGGGGGCACTGCAGGTACCCTGTTACCCAGTAGGGCCACACTCTGGGGCCTGCAGGTGAGAGGCTGTAGGCGGTTTGGGTTACCGGAGGATTTCCCATCCACTTGAACATGGAGATCGGCGGCGACTGTCGAAACCACCTCCCCACAGCTTCTCTACCCACCTCTCACACACCCTGCAGAGCCTAAAGATTGGGGCAGGGACGAAGCTACCACTTTACAGACGTGGCAGGCAAGGCCTTCGTAACAGGAACAAAATATAAAACTCCTAAGTATATATAAACTACAGTTATCTGACCAAACCAGAGTGCGTACTGTTCAAACGTAGCTCATTCTCTCCTCCAAAGAATGCCGGGCCATTCCACTACATGTACCCCTTCTTCCACCAAGCCATCCACATACCCAGTCACTAACATCGTCCACTGCATCATCTACCATGAAAAAAAAAACCCAGAACAAAACCCGTTAGGCAAATAAGTACCTGAACAGTAATAACATTGCCTATAAACTACAGGTAGATCAGGAGCTAGATACTCAATTGCTCACTTCTCTGAGAGAGGAAAACAGTTTTACCCACCAAAGCAGAAGCATGGTAGGAAGTAATGACTTTTTCTCACCTTCAGGTAATATCAGGTCACGGTAATCATTCTTTGTTTGAATTGTGGTTTTTGTTTTGTAACTGAGTAGGAGTATCCAAAAGGATATTTTGAAAGTAATTAAAAATGTTTGCAAAACTTGAAGTGACATAATTTATCAGAACTGCCATTAACATATGAGCATATGCACACAGAATGAGATTACAGATTCTGTGAATTTCTTGGCTTTGACCCCTTGGGTAGGCACAGACAGTTGTTAAAGAAATGTGTTATATGACAGATGCTTTCCTCCTTTAAGCTGCTTTAAATACCAGCGCGGGTGCAGAACCCTAGGCCTGGCTCTCCTCTGAGGGAAACAGGGCTGTCAGCAGCTTTGCATGTGGAGGATTAAATTGGCAGCCATGTTCTGCAAAATTTTCAAGAAGCTCACAGATAATAACCAGGAGCAGCCAAGGCGCTTACAGTCCCTCTGCTTCTCCAGGTACGATAAGAGTGGTTTACTTGGTGTGACACAGGAACCTGATGCTGAGAACATTTTCACTGGTTCTTAAAACAGACATTACTGCTACTTTTTCAAAGAAAACTCCGGTGAAATTACACACACAGGATTCCCAAAGCTACACTGTTTTCACCCTGTCAGTTTCTAAATTCCTCAAGAATGCCCCTGTGACTGCCTACCACCTCACCTCACCACTCCCAAAGGCCCGAGCATTCACATGGCACCAGAGGCACTCGGCAGCACAGCAGGGCCCCTCCACGCAGGACACTCCAGGCCCTTCTGGCACAACACCCACCCATGTGCAAATGTAGTTTCCTGCAACCCCAAGGGCCAGACTTGGCAATAAATTCACACATATTACCCAAGAAGTCACCACTCCCAACTTCACCAACTTGGCTTCTGTGGTCATAGGAAATGGAGGTGAGAGAGGTGTGGAAAGCTACTAAATCCCATTCAGAACCGGCACAGACACACTTCCAGCAGCAAGGTCCTGGTCTTCCTTCCACATCCCGTAGATCTCAGCAGAGTGGCTCACGCGGGGCCATCTGTCACCCAGCAGCAGCTCCTGAGTTAGTCTGCACCTACTTTGAATGTAGCAGGAGACACAGGAGCTTGGCTGGAGAGAACACACTTAGTCCTGTAGGAAGTTTCAGGGGTTCCTGGACCTTCCTGAGGCCTGCTCCTGAATCCCTGGTGAAGGCTTCTACCCCAGCACCTGTGAGAAGTCAGGGAGGGGGGCACTGAGGGGTGTAAAAGGTGGGGCTCACCGGATGGTATGCCACCAGGAAATGGGAGCCCTCATATCCTTTAAGCCTGGGATGAGCCACAGGGCTGCCTCCCCTGAGTTTCTCTATGTCTCTGGAAAAGAATTGCAGTTTGGCAGATCTGGAAACCAAAGGCTGCAAAGTAATGCCTGCACTGCTTGACTGGTAAGAGTCCAGGAAAAAAAAAATCCCCAAACACAGCAGTCCCATTAGGATTTGGTGTTTTTCTTGAAAACAAGGAAAATATTCCCTTCACTCCACTCCATTCTTATTACCCAATTTGCAGGCAAGTATGGGCCAAGACATGGACTTCAAAAATAAGTCCAGAAAGCATGCTTGAGGCCCTAAAAATTATACTCAGGCATCCAACCACTCCCCTCCCCACTTTTGGGTGCCACAGGTGGACCCCTTACTGGTATCTAGGAGTACCAGAGGGTCTCATCAGTCTAGGCAGGGCAAGACAGGGGGAGAAACAGGGTGACAAGCAACCCCAAAGGTTTCAAACCCGCATCAGGCCCACACTAGGCTCCAGGAGTCAGGAACTACAGAGGGAAACAGAGGTTCCCTCTAGGTCAGAGCACAGCAGGACTGTGGCTGCCTGGGCCAGGTCTTCGTGCGGCCCCCCAGGGCGCTGAGAGTCCATGGAGTTGGGCTGTCTCCGAAGACCTGCTGCTCCGGGAGCTGCTCCCTGAATTCCTGTAACAGCCAGCACTCACTCACTCTAAGGATCTGTCAAAGTGTATCTTCTAGCGTTTTAGACAGCTCGTTCATTTACAAAGCAAGAAAACACACTGCACATAATTGTAGGGAAGGAAACTACTTGCTTCCAATTTAAATGCTCAGTTTTTCTGAGTCATTGAAACCGATCCTGAAAATCTAACATTTGGACAAAATTTTACTTAAAAGCCTAACTACAAATTTAAACCATAAGAACATAGCTAAAAATCACAAACTTAAATCAACAAAATGTAGGTATGATTACGGTCAAACTGGGTAACCAATAAAGATCTGAACTTTTAATAAACAACTGGAGATTCCTGGCAGCATAAATTACAATATTCACGCCACCCTGGAGGAGTGTGATTCCTTAAAATACACTTAAATCTGTTTAAAATCTGCAGCCAGAACATAAAGGGTAACCTGTCATTCCATAGAGCTTCCCAGACTCACGTCAGTGGTAAGCCTGGCTGGTCGCCACTTTCCCCTTCCTAACTACAAGCAAGAAGGGAAAAGTGGCATGTGAAAGGGGCTGAGCTGGAAATAGTCCCACAAATGACTTCCCAACATGGGAGGCAAAAAGCTTCACGGATGGATTTTGCTGTCATCTTCAGCATGTCGTTCAATGTGTCCTGCAGCATCCTAGGGAAAAAGGAACAAGAGCCTATGAGAGAAGAATTGGTGGTAGGACAAGACAAGACAAAGTCCAAGCCAAGGGCAGCCCTGTGGGTCTAGCCTATCTGGGATCTGCACAGCGAAGGCTGTCGGGAACCAGTACCTGGTGAATTTACATAAAAATCTGCTCTGAAAGGTGAGCTCCGGCCTGTGCACAAGAGCTCTGCAATAAACCTCCAGGTTTGCATGCTGGGTTTGAGACAGCTGGAAATATTTTAGGTTTTTTTCTCAAAAAACTACCCAACTCTTCACTGAAGACCCGAAGTTGTACCCCAAGTGTCTAAATAATAAAAATTTCTAGGCCCTCCTTCTTTATTGTAACTCTGTACATTCTTAACAAAGTGACAAAGATTTGCCAGTCTCCACATTGAGCAGTCATCTACACCTTATGAACCCACTCAGGTACCTGCTTGGATCCTTTCCTGGCGGTGAAAAAAGCATCGCAGTTCTTCCACCGGCATTTTAGAGTTTGAAAGTTTGGATTAGTGTGGTCGGTCAACAGGTGTTGCTTTAAATGATCTATTACTCCAAATATCAGAGAGCAACCATGCCACTGGAGGGATGACAGACAAGATCAGGTTAAAGAGCGTCTTCAACGAGCAGTCAGAGCCTCCCTCGCTTGGAGCCTGTACATTCTGTACAACAAAAAACAAGCCCTTGTTCACTGATTTATTTTAAGCTAGAGAATAGAACAGGGACTGGAGTTGTGGCACAATGCATTAAGTTGCCTTGTGTGATGCTGGCATCCCAAATGTGACCTAGGTCAAGTCTTGCCGCTCCATTTCCAATCTAGCTTCCTGCTAATGCGCGTGGGAAAGCAGAAGATGACCCAAATACACGAATCTCTGCATCCACATAAGAGATCTGGAAAAAGCTCCTGGCTCCTGGCTTAGGAGTGGCCCAGATCCAGCTACTTCTAGCCATCTGAGGAGTGAACCAGGTGATGAAAGATCTCTCTCCTAATTCTGCCTTTCAAATTAATAAACAAATCTTTAAATAAATAAAAACAAATAATTTGACGAGGAGATAAACCAAACCATCAATGCTTACAGTCTCTGACACAACTGGAAGCAGTATATAAAAATAAAACTATCTACTTTTTTATTTCACGTACTTCTATTTTGCTGAAACTTCTGAAGGCATGTGCTAACTTTAATCAAACAAACCACCTAGGAGACAGTATGTCAGACATTTCCATGTACCTTGTAACAGATTTAATTAAGTGGAAGGCATTAAATAGGTGCTCACATGTAAAAATGGTGAGCTAAAAGTAAAGAAAATCTGTAAGTAGGTCTAGAGTCAAGCAATTCTAAGGTCTGGTGAGAAGAACATCTTCACTCCTTACCCAACAGCGGTAATTCTGCATCAGATTCAGTCTCACAGCCTGAATGCTGCCATCGTAACAGCCAGTGTAAATCTATAAACAGAGGTTTAAGGTTAAACCAAAATCTACACAATTGCACAACACCCTCAATATAAGAGCTCAGAACAACTTTTAATAGCTATAGGAGGACATAATTCTAAACACGACCAGCTCCCAAGTACTAATATGGAATAGCAGTTTCTAGGACTTCCCATCTGACAACGTGAAGCTGTCCTCATTGGAAATGTGGCTGAGAACAAGAGCAGGACTCAGAGAAAGCCGCCTCTACCTGAGCTGCTATGACTCGGGCTTCTAATGGACTCAGTGTTTCGTGGCAAGAAAAGGATCTACTACAGAAACATTAGAAACCTGCATCTTGGTTCAACTCTGGTATTTCTTAAAATAAAATCGGGCTTATCAGAGTTCAGTGAATTAGCTTTTACTTATACGTCTGCTATAATTATACCACACTAGCCAAATCTAATACCATTCCAATGTTCCATTCAGATCATGGTGTCTCTGGAAAAAAGATCACTTTTTAAATATCTCCTATTTGATAGTGATATTAAGATTGATATTAAAATATTATTTGCTATTAAATAGGAAACAGAATGTTCAACAATGCCATTGAGTTACTTCACAGCATCATTACTGCAGGAGACAGATATTCAATGAGCTGGCACATCAGAAACTGAAAGTGATAGGCAGTAATACTCCTGTCAATATAGAGACTTTTAAGTGAATATATTCTATGACTTGGCCGTTTTACTCACCACACTCTTATGGATGGTCATGCACATAATCATGTCTTTGTGTCCTCCATAAACTTGCAAGCGATCATGAGACTGAGGCAGAAGGAAAAAAGAGAGAACCGAGGTTATCTGTGTTTGTGTTTAACAATAAGCAGTCATTGAGGGCCTTTTGTGAGGTTTTTAACCAGACGTGAGCCACTAAATTGAAGCACTAGGAACATTGTTAACAGAATTATATTCCAATGGCAATCTGCCTAGTAAGTTCCATTCCTCAAAGGGGAAGCTGGTAACCAGAAATAATAAAACCAACTTGTTTAATATCAAACTTCAAACTGCACATAAGGACATAAGGGGACATTTTCAGAGTCTGAGTTTTTCTCCAGGAACAACTGAGGCTTTGCCACCTGCAAGCCTGATCAGTATCTTCAGAGCAGTCTGACAAGGGTATAATCTATGGGCAAGCTGTTTCATAATTAGCTAGAGTATTTATGAAAATGCAGATTCCCGGGATCCACCCTCCCAACATTATTGCATCAAAAATCAAACCCCCAAAAATCAGTGCTCCAAAATGGATTCAATCAAAATAATCAATCTAAGTTATACCTGTAACTCATAGACTCGAACAAATTTATCCAGGCAGGCAGTCACCATCACTTTCCCCAGGATGTTCACCACTGTCACTGCATGATTGTGACCTTTATAGATCCGCACAAGCTCACCAGTCTACGTCAGAAGAAAGGTTAGGTGAACAGACTGTCCCCCAAGATTCTGTGCTGCTCTGGAGATCTGTCATTCTGTAAGTGTAAGAAGCATAACTCCAAGGCCATCAAGACACATGCATAGCTGTTTTAATTTTAACAGCTGACGGGCTCCCACAAGCAATTATTATGCATACAGAAAATATGCAATGGATCCTGAGAGAAGCTGAGGTCACAGGAAGGGAAGGGGGAACACGTTTGCCTATTTTGCAGCTTTCAAAGGACAGGTCAAACATTCCTAATCTGATGATCTGAGACACTCAGAAATCTGAACGTTTTCAACTAACAACATCCTCAGGTGATAGATCATAAAAAACACTAAATGCATTAAAAATACTGTACAAAATAAACTTCACTCTATTTGACTAGGGTATATACAAAACAAAATAAATTCTCTGTTCAGACTTGGGTTCCATCCTCAAGACAGCTTGCTACATTTTTTTTTTTAATATTCCCAAACCAGGAAAACTGCAAAAATCTGAAACCCTCTTGGACCCAGGTATTTTGAATCTGTGCTTGCACTTTGCCATCTCCTGGGATCTAGACAGCGAGTTCCCAAATGGCAGTACCCTCAGGTCTAAAGACCAGGAAATAAGCATCCCAGAGCTGCCTCAATAAGCTGAGCTGCCTTGAAGCTGTTTTTCCTCACTGTTTTAAACAAATCATCATATTTACTTTCGAAAAGCCTTGGCTGCTGAATTTACATAGAGCTTAACTGAAGCATGTAAACAAAACCATACTGGCAATCTGCCTTCCATTAAAAATTTTAACTGTGTCACAATTTCCAGACTGTTCAGTGATGTCTAAAAGTGTACAAATAAGGATTATTGTTAATCCTTTTGCAGGATAAAGGACTTATTTTAAAATGTAAGAGGTCTTAGGAAGCCTTTTGCTTTAGCTACTGTTTTATTAAATTTCCTTATACAACATCACAGTGACTTACATGAATATTGTGAGCGTGAACTGACTGATCACTCGAACCACTGAACACCAGGTCATTCACCACCTTGAAGAATAAATGGGCAAGTTAGATTTTCTATAGGGTTCTCAGTTTCCTTTATAACTTGTTGTTACAAAGGGGATTTTAACTTCTGAGACGAGCATGAATTAGACCGAATTCCCCAAATTATCTCAACTAAAACTTAAGTCTGACCATTGGAAGTGCTGGTGAACTGACAACTCTTAGAGTGATCATGAGGTTGCCTAGCAGAGGAGGAAGGGTATAACCACATTCTACAGTAAAATACACTTGGTTTCTTGGTTAACATATTAAAGAGAGTATCATTTGGTGATTCAGGCACAAAGATTATTATATTCTAAATAATGCATCAGACGACCTGAAAAGTGCTATTCAAAACCCCTCAGCTCGTGCCAGACCACTCTTGTTCTCACACGCTGTACTTGCCTTCATGCAAAGGATGGTTTTGCTGTGGCCCTCCAGAGTTCTGAGGAGCAGGCCGTTCCGGGCGTCACGTACACTAATGGTACAGTCGTAAGAGCCCACAACCAGCAGCTTTCGGGCACCTTCCTGAGCTGTGGCAAGACAGCTGACTGCTCGAGGGCCATGACACTCAAAGATCTCCATGCGTTTGTTGTTCTGAAAAGTAAGCACTGTCAGATTCAGTAAACGCAACCTTGCTAGAAAAAAACAAAACTAAACTAAAAAACAAACCAAATCACTGTTTTAGGACTAATTCTCAATTCCGTGACCTACACTCGACATTTCTATGCTTCCAACCTCCATCCAGTCCTCTCTGCTGTGTTCATGGCCTCTCCCTTCCCTGATCTAGTTGGGGGACAAACTCTTACATGACAGATCAATTGATCATTTCAACCACATGATTCTCAACTTAATTAGAAAATGACTGTTTTCATATTCCTTAATAATAAAGAATCAATATTTTCCATACTACATTTTCCAGGCAACAGACCCTAAAATTCTTCCACTATATTAAAAAAAAAATGATAAATGAATGTTCGTGTCTTTTCATCTACTTGAATATGTGTATGGAATCAAACTCCCAGAAATTTGGCAGAGATCAGCAGTCGGGAGCCTGCAGAGCTGAGAAACTACTTAAGCCTTCCCAAAGTGTTAGGGACACAGAATAATTAGAATTCAAGACTCAGTGCAGACATGTCTGGGTAAGTAATTCTGGGCAAATCAAAGGAACTCCAGGGGAAACCTTCAAAATTTACACCCAAGTCAAGATGCTCACATTCTAGATCTCTTTTTTTAGAGCTTTTAAATCATATTAAGAATGTATCCATTCAAATTTATTATCAGGGCTAGGTGCACCATCCATTGGTCTGCGTATGAAATGGGGCTGGGGACATGCTGACTGCAACCACCAATGTGTGTGCAGGCTGACGTGGGTGATGAACTGAACTGGACTCCACACTAGCTGAGACATACAGGAGTCTGGTTGCGGTCACCTCTGCCAAGGTTTCTTGGATACACCCCTCTCCAAATGGATCACTGGACTTAAACTCCAACCATGGGCAAAAATCACAGGCTATGTGGTCTGACCATGGAGTGCATTTGTCAAAACTGGGGTTCCATGGTTGCTGAGGCCTACACAATGAACGGCAAGCCCAGATGCTCATGGCAGACATGACAGCCAAATCATTGAGGCCTGCAGGGAAAACTAGTACCTTGGAGAGCAGAAATTACTCTCTTGATCTATTCATATCAAGCAGTCAGCTTGGCAACTGATTATACATGTGCTAGATTCTTTTACCCTAGGCTTCTTACAGCAGCAAGCATGTCATTTTACTGCATCCTTTATATAACTGCTGCATGTAGCACATAACAAACAAATGACATGGTAATGGTACATAGCACATATTCTGGGACAGGCATTTGGCACAAAGGCTTCAACAGTGCTTGGGGTTCCCACAACACACACTGCAGTGCCTGGGTTCAAGCGCCAGCTCTGTTTCTAATCCCAGCTTCTTGCTAATGCATACCACAGGAGGCTGCAAAAGATGATGCAAGAACTTGAATCCCAGCCAACCACATGGAAGAACCAGACTGAGCTCCTGGCTCTTGGTGTCAGCTTGGGCCAGCTTTGGCTGCTGTGAATCCTTGGGGAGTGAACCAAAAGACGGGACATCATTCTGTGTCTGCCTGGCTAGCTCTCCCAGTACGCTCTCCAAGTAAGTAAAAACAAACTTAAAAAAAATCACTAAACATTCTAAGTACACATGTACTACAAGAGGCTCATGGGATATGATGCTGCAATAATTAGTAATCCAATCTATGAATTCCACTTTTTAGATTACCTCTTTTATCCACTTCTTTTCATCCATACACTAACTTTTCTAGTCAGCTTTCATCACAAGCCTCCAATGGCTGCCTTGCTTCTACGAATACCAGTCTTCCCCAATATCATCTGCACAGTGAGTTTTTCTAAATACAAATACCACAAAAAATGCAACTGCCTTCACAAAATACAAAGGCCATCAAGCACTTCCTAAGCCTTATCTGAGACCTAGCATGTAACGGATGCCCGTTAATGGTGTGCTCAACAAGTAAATTGATCTCTGCATTGTACAGGTTTGTTAAGACCATCTTTACAAGACTCTAAATCAGTTCCAAATTACGCCAGTATCATATTCAAAAAAATTCAGACTGCTTTCATGGTGTGGTTCTTAAAATGAGATATACTAATTTAACCTGTGACTCATTATTTGGCCCAAAATTGGCACACTTGCTCTTATTTTTTTCTGTTTAAGGTGTAGAAGAAAAACACGTAAAGCATGTTATCAGTCAAGCTTTTTGGTTTTATCACATTTAACGACAGCAATAAAAGATCACAAGCAATGGTGTTCTGTTCAGCCATTTCATATAGAAGGAGGGTACCAAAACCCCCTCCCTCTTCAGATCATGGCAACTTTGCTCTATCCCACAAGCATAGCCACTAAAATCTACTCATTGTAGAAAATGTGGTAGTCAAATGGGAGCCACACTTGATCTTATTTGGTAGCATTACATTTTGGTCCTGGTACATCTCATCTACGCAGACAGAAGAAAGGCTCTTATTTCACTTACATCACAAAATAACTGTTTTTGAGAAGTGGTTAATTTTATTTCCTTAAACAAGAAAACAGAAAACCTCCCGTCTGCTACTCCTTCCCACACACAAATGGGCAAAAGAATTCAGTCTTCTCCCCACCAACCACTCACCTTTATGTTGAAGGTGACCACAGTGCCATTGGCCAGTCCGGCATAGAGGATTCGCCATCTACTGTGGAGGCAGAGAACCCGGTCTTCCAGCTCTAACTGCTCCAGACACTCTCGGGTCTGACAAAAGCATACAACATCTATCAGCAAATGGGATGGGAAAACAATTTCCCCATGAGAGCAAATTTAATAATGAGAATTTTATTATTATTATTTTATGATACAGTTCCATAGGCCCTGGAATTTCCCCTACCCTCTCTCCTATATATATATATATATATATATTCTAATATATATTCCAATAATAACAGTATGTATATATTCTAATAGCCAGTATGCATGCCTCCAATTTATATAATTTATATACCTCCAATTTATAGAATATATACACATATATTCTAATAGCAGTATGCATGCCTCCAATTTAGAATGTACAAGCTTTTCAAAGGGGCACTATGAGTTGGGTCTGAGCCCTCTAAATAAATGTCAAAAATTAAAGCTGCATTTGCAACCTGGCTTTATAATTGTGTATTTGGCAAACATGTTATTCATAAGGGCTTTCCTGCAATGTATTCATTAAACCACCTTCAAATTCCTGCTTCGCAATGGCTGCTAAATTAGTTGGGCCATAATTACCCAGGAAGTTTTTTTTTTCTTTAAATTTTAACTTTTTTTTTTTAAAGGCAGAGTTACAGAAGGAAGTACAGAAAGAGAGGGCGGGGCGGGGCGGGGCGGGGAGCGCAATCTCCCATCTGCTGTTCACTCTCCAAATAACCGCAACAACTAGAGCAGAGCTGCCCCAAAGCCTGGTTCTTCTTCCAGGTCTCCAATAGGGGTGTAGGGGCCCAAGGACCACACCCTCCTTTGCCGTTTTCCCAGGGAATAAGCTGGAGTTGGATCACAAGTAGAACAGCCAGGACTAAAACTGGAGGTGTATGGGATGCTGGTGCTGCAGGTGGATTAGAACCGGCACCCATATGGGATTCCGGCATGTTCAAGGCAAGGACTTTAACTGCCAGGCTATTGCACTGGGCCCTATATCTTATTTGTTGATGAACTTTCCAGTTTATCTTCTTGCTGTCTTCCTATTTAGTGATCTCTCATATGAAGAGGGCTAGTGAAGTCTCCAACTATTGTGGAGAGCGGAGCCGCGCCTCAAAGATGGCGCTTGTTGACCATTGCACAAAGGTGGGAAACAGGTTTTGGGAAGTTACTGAGGATTGGGCCGAGCACGCAGGGAAGCTACGTGACCTAAGTCATGATTGGCGTGCTTGCCACATGATGTGAGGAGCTGTGTATGGATTGGTTTGTGTAATGTAAAAAGGTCTGGGTAAAAAATAGTTAAGAGGAGATTCTCCCAGGCGCACTTCAAGGCTAGAGCTGCTAGAGCTAAGGCCATCGCTTCAAGGCTATGTTGTAGCTGCTATCACTAGCGCTAGGCTATAGCTGCTTTTGCTTTGCTGCAATAAATCTTACAACTGTTGTAACTGCTTTTGCTTTGTAACTACCCTTGAAGTCCGCAGAAATAAACTTTTCAAAGAATCTTTACCGTATCGGGGTCTTGCTCGCGGGACAAGGGACCCTGATAAACTATTATTGTGAAACTTGTTAATTCCTCCCTTCTATACTGTTGGTTTGCTTCACCTACTACTTTATTGACTCTTATTATGAAATGTCCCCCTTTCTCCAACAACATCTGTCTCAAAGTGTTTGCCCAATACTGACATCATTGCCCTATGCCCTTTTTATTATTTGTGTAAGACAATTCATATTTTTTCAATTTTTTTTTACTTTCAATTGTATTGTGTTTTGTGCTTTCAATTTACTTTCTATTGTATCTTTGACGTTAAAGTGTTTCTTCTTTTCTTTTTTTAAAAGATACATTTATTTTTATTGGAAAGAGATTAACAGAAAGAACAACAAAGATTTTTCCATCCGCTGGTTCACTCTCCAGATGGCTGCAACAGCCTGAGCTCAACCAATTCGAAGCCAGGAGCCAGGAGCTTCTTCCAAGTTTCCCACGTGGCGCAGGGTCCCATGCTTTGGGCCATCCTCCGCTGTTCCCTCAGGCCACCAGTAGGGAGCTAGATGGGAAATGGAGCAGCCAGGACACAAACTGGCACCCATAGGGGATCCTGGCACTTGGAGGAGGAGGATTAGCCAATCAAGCCATTACACTTGGCCCTAAAGTTTTATTTTTTTTATTTGGTATTACTTCTGCATCTTACCTATATCTGTCTTTTGATTTTGATGGCATTTCATTTGCTTTTAATGTAATTAGAATTTTTTTTTTAATTTGTTCCAATTTGAGCCCTCTTTTTGTCAATCTATTTTATCTTATACTAAATTTTTCAAGTATGTTATTTTAATTTCTCAACTAGCTTTCTAAGTTCAATTTATTCTGCTTCACCAGCGGTGGCCCCTAAATGTAAGTTCTTCAGCCCTTTCCCAGACATGCTTAGGACAAGGTTCAGTGCTGTGCGTTAACAAGGCTTCCACATGAATCTAACGTACACTGAAGCTGTGAAACAGCAGCATCAGTCCTTAGCAATCTACTTCACACTCATTCCCACTGAGATGTCAGAACCTTACACTAACACAGCTTCATTCACTCCATCTCCTCTATGTACCTATTATCACACATATTCCACCCATGTGTATTATAAACCTAACAGTGTAACTAAACATGTGGTTTGTATTCACCTCATACATATCTGAATTTATACCAGAGTTCCCACTCTTCCCAATCAACACGGTTAGATGTAGGTCATTATTACCCCTTCTGGTTTCTCTGGACTCACCCACCTTAACATGATAGCAGCGAATGGTGTGGTCACTGGAACCAGTGTAGAGGGCGGCGTTCTTCTCAGATGTCTGGGTCACCAGCAGGCAGTTCACTTTGGAGCTATGGCCTTCAAAGATGCCGATACATTTCCGACTCTAAAGTCAAACACAGGTCACGTTATCACTTGTAGGGTACAGATGATCAAGTAAAGTGTTTCTTCCTCAACAAAATGAGGCAACAACAGTCAGGTCACTACTTTTTGCTCAGTGCCTACAATAATGCCTGGAACACAAAAGGTATTCAGTAACTAGCCATTCACTGAATGCCCAACTGATGGCTGCAGGGTCTGGGGTACCTGCAGCTGGATGCTGAGCCATAACCAGAAAACACTTAATACACTCCTCCACAGGAGAGGACAGAAGCCAATTCTCTACCTTGAGCAACACTAATATATGGACCAAATACAAACTATAGTGCTAATTATCCTGAATAGGTATGTATTTGATCATTGAAAAACAGGTTTCATCAAAGGTTTTAGTGGCTTACATGTGACTTCCACAGAGAACATTCTAAATGATATGTCTGTATATATGCACAGATCTATTTAGGATGTACACACACACAGACACAGACACAGACACACACACACACAGACACAGACACAGACACACACAGACACAGACACACACACACAGACACACACACAGACACACACACACACACACACACACACACACACACACAGACACACACACACACACACAGACACAGACACACACACACACACACAGAGACACACAGACACACACACACACACACACACACACACACAGACACAGACACACACAGACACAGACACAGACACACACACACACACACAGACACAGACACACACACACACAGACACAGACACACACACACACACACACACAGACACAGACACACACACACACACAGACACACACATACACACACACACAGACACATACACACACACACACAGACACAGACACACACACACACACACACACACACAGACACACACACACACACACACAGACACAGACACACACACACACACAGACACACAGACACACACACACACACACACAGACACACAGACACACACACACACACACACAGACACAGACACAGACACACACACACACAGACACAGACACAGACACACACAGACACAGACACACAGACACAGACACACACACACAGACACAGACACACACATACACACACACACACAGACACAGACACAGACACACACACACACAGACACAGACACACACAGACACAGACACAGACACACACACACACACACAGACACAGACACACACACACAGAGACACAGACACACACACACACACACACAGACACACACACACACACACACAGACACACACACACAGACACAGACACACACACACACACACAGACACAGACACAGACACACACAGACACAGACACAGACACACACACACACACACACACAGACACAGACACACACAGACACAGACACACACACACAGACACAGACACACACAGACACAGACACAGACACACACACACAGACACAGACACACACACACACACACACACACAGACACAGACACACACACACACACACACAGACACAGACACACACACACACACACACCCTCTGCAATTTAACTGTTATGCTCATATTTCCTTATAACACTGCTTCCTTCCTTCAGTCCCTCCCATTACTTCTCCCATCACTAGGTGGAAGGAGGTTACATTTTTGTTATCTGTGGCAAACAATTTTCCTGATCCATCAACTAACTTTCAAATTTTCTGATTACAAAAATTACTTCAGTAGTACTTCCAAGGCATTATTTATTCAGAAAACACGGCATTTCTAAAATTTCTTGGCTATCAGAGCCAGCAAACAGATCTCGACACATATCAAGTACTCGGAAGTTCTTTTTTTGAGACTAAGGAAGATCAGAAATGTAAGTGTGAGGCAGTGGGGAAGGACTGCTCTCCTGTCACCTGGACACTCAGCAGCTGTCAGGAAATGTCTCCTCTGATGCCTTCTTAGAGCTCCTCTCTGTGACCTACCAGCGACTCAACTGCCCCCACACCAACTCCAGGGGTGGCAGCTGACTGACCAGAGCCTGCTGGCATGGGTTTAACCTCCTTTGCAGCAAGTGAAGGTACCAGCAGTATAAAGTCTAGCACGCTTTTGTGGTATTAGGAGCGGGGGGGGGGGGGGGGGGGGGGGCGCAAAACACCACAGTGGCTATTGACATCTGTCTGTGAGAAGGGGAACCAGCTTTTAGAAAGGAGTGGTCCCTGAGAAGGCAGAATAGAAAGACAGAGAGATCAGGTCTCCAGTGTCTCATTCTGAGGCTCACCCCTACCTTGGGATAGACAGTAAATTCCCCAAGTTGTTTAAGGGAAAGAGTTGGCTTTTCGGGCCTGGTGTGATGGTGTAGCGGTTAAAGTCCTTGCCTTGCATGTGCCAGGATCCCATATGGTCATTGGTTCTAATCCCGGCAGCCCCGCTTCCCATCCAGAGCTCTCTACTTCTGGTCTGGGACAGCAGTCGAGGACGGTCCAAAGCCTTGGGACCCTGCACCTGCATGGGAGACCCAGAAGAGCTCCTGGTTCCTAGCTTCAGATTGGCACAGCTCCAGCCGTTGTGCTCACTTGGGGTGTGAACCGTCAGACGGAAGATCTTCTTCTCTGTCTCTCCTCTTTGTATATCTGCCTTTCTAATAAAAATAAATAAATCTTAAAAAAAAAAAAAAAAAGAGTTGGCTTTTCTAAAGCCTGCTTCAAACATTCTAAATGCTACATGAACTTACCACCAGATTATACACACGGACAGTTTTATCCGCTGAGCAAGTATACAGTAAGTTCCCAAATATCTGGATTGCATTCACAGCAGCCTGGTGCCCTTCAAAGCTCCCTTCTGTGGGCTCATCATCATCTCCTGGCTCTGAGGATATTTCTAGAAAGTACGGACAGATTTCAGAGACATGGCTACCAATCAAAACCATTATACCATACAGAGGTTCCCAGATTAAACCAAAAAGACCTTCTACAGTCTAGTTTTCCTAGCAAAGTCCTGTATTTCCTTGGAAGATTTTTAACAATCCTAGAATAAAAGACAGCATGGCAGGCCTTCATGCAGAAGGTTTATTTTGCTGAAGAAGTTTTTAAACCCAAGCATCTTCCCCTCACCCCCCAATGGAAGTTTCCATCAATTTGGGAAAATCCCTTGCAGAATGAGCATCTAAAGGACAGCTGAGAGGCACCTGTACCTCGCCATTATTTCCCCTTGCTGCCAGTTATTTCCTTGAGTAAGACACTGAAGCAGTTTCTTCTTAAAGCAAAAATCCCTGCAGCCAATGAAACCTAAATGCTAATCAGCTGAACACAGCTGGGAGCCGGATAAGACAGGAAGAACTGCCAAGGCCAGGACTGGAGGACTTAAGGATGCCAGGACTGCCCATCAACACAATCCCCTTTGGGACTGCCCCCACCCCCTCCCATTAGGTTACACAAATAAAGTAAAATCCTGACTCTAACATGCATCAGCCATTATTCCCCACAGTTAAATGTAAATTAAACTGAATGACAAATACCTGAAGAGTTCTTAGATACTTTTATAGAAGTGATTACTGTTTGAGTTTCTGCCACACTGCAAAAATAATAGCAAAAGTGTTCTCTTAGTATATATGTGGAAAGGATAGGTAGTAAATATCTCCTAACTCTAAAATTTTTTTCTAAACAATGGGCAATAGATCAGCTTCTCTATTAAAATTTCTCCCTGAAGGGAAGGATGAATATTTAGCACAAAGTAAAACCTTTTCCGACAAGGGTTGGTTCTTCCATATCATAACTCCTGCTATAGTTACATAAATCTCATTTCTAAGCAAATATTGATTCAAAACTAAAAGCTTTCTTTGTTTGTTTTTGTTTTTTTAAAGAAGACTGGGGCAGGCATTTTAGCATAACCATTAAGTTACCCTTGGGGTGCCTGCACTTGAAGTCACATTGACCCTGCTCTTGATCGAGGAGGGAGCAGATGACGATTCAGTGTCTGGGTTCCCACCACCCTTGTGGCCTCACCAGCCCTTAGTGTTGTCAGCAGCTGGGTGGTAAAACAACCAATCTCTATCTCCCTGCCTTTCGAATTAAATGGGGGGGAAAAAAAAGGATTGGTGAGAGCTATTCTGACTGAACCAATGCAACCTCCTCACCTTACGTGGATGCCATCTTTATGGCGAGTGACAATCTCACTGGTAGAGCTAACTTCATCACATCCAGAACGAGAAGTTTCCAGCGAGTTTGGCTCTGTAGTGTTCCAGGTATCCTTTTTGGATGGGCTGTCTGGTTTCTCCTCTCCAGACTCAGAGGATTCGATTGGTATCACTTCCAGAGGAAGGTTATTAATTTCCAGGACTTCCAGGGACGAGTCACTGTCGGGCTCATCTCGGACACTGTCCTGCTCCAGACCAGCTCTGCTGTCTTCCCAAGTGGATGTCGTTACTTTCCCTCCTTTGGTTAACTTCCCGCTTTTAACCTTCCTCACGGGTTTCGCGGTAAACACATCCTGCTCGGTGTCACTGTTCTCAGGAACACGGGTGGCACGCAGAGTTTTCTTCTTCCGAAGTTTCTTCTTTTTCTTGTTCACCTTTGTGTCGGCTGATGTCAGGGTGGATTCAGCCTGCTGCTCAGGCTGGTCAACTGGGGAGTGGGGTTCCTTCTCCAACGAGGTTTCGGCAGTAAAAGATAATCTTGGGAAAGAACTGGTACAGGCTTCAGACCCAATGTTGCCTTTGGTTGGTTCTTCACGTCCTTTATTTATACTAGGAAGACTAGACGATTGGGAGGAGGGAGAGTTTTCTCTGTCCCTGATGCTTTCTTGCTCCACAGACAACTTGAGTTCTTGGCTAGGCTCATGGAAACTTTCTGTTAGCCCTGAGAAGGGCAACGTTGCGGTCATGACGGGGTAAGCGGGAGAACTATCGCTCATCTCTCCTGAATCGAGAAGAAAAAAATTACTGCGTCCTTTTTGTGTTTGCTGTTTATTTTCACAAACTAAACACGTCACTGACTGGATCTCTACCAGACATCGGGGATACATGCACAAAACCACGGCTGTTAGGGCTGTTGTCACAGGCCTCTGGGACCTGCAGGACACGCTCCTGTTGGAGCGCTTACTCTTCTCCTATCAACCCCACAAAAAACATGCGTGTCATTGTCCCTATGGAAGCTTCTTGTGGACAAGGACTGCTTCTATCCATCTTGTTTTCTCATTTAAGATGTTCATATAGCCAATGCTATTGTATTAGGAGACACATATTTACCTGACTAAAGCACACTTTTATGTCTTAGCAATTTGTCACTATACATTTTACCTACACATCATCCAATTTTTGCTACACACTAATAGTTAAAAAGCCAGCTGACTTAAAAATGTCCTCTTTCTTTAACTCAGTTGTTTCATGTCTAGGAATTTTAATTCATGAAATACAAATATACTGGAAGACACATTACACAGCACAAGAAAGGCTGAAATAATATGTAATAAGGTAACATCTACAATTTCAGTTTTCCAACTTTTCACAAAGGATATAACTTCAACCCCATGCACAAAAACCGAACTCATGCACGTGTCCTAATAAAAGTGTTAATACAAAGTCAACTCAGTAACACTAGATTGGAGAAAATCAGGAAGAGGTTACTGATATTTAAATTCTCTAAAGTCTTTTAAAAGAATGACCCTGAATGAAAGAGATTTCAATGAAAATTAGGATAACTTTTGTTTTTTCATGGCAAGTATAGTTTCACGCCACTCAAACCGTTGCCCTAGTCCCACTGCAGGGATACCCTTCATCTAGAGAAAAGTTTACATACTCTGAGCTTGCAGTAATCCCTTGGACACATGGCAGGCAGAGCCTTGTGACACAGCATTCGGATTCTCTTCTTGTTCGGGAGACATGGGCTCTTGTTTAATATGAACTGATGAGTCTGGAGCAGGGACACTGCCATGGGCTGGCAAGGTGGATGTGTTGACTTGGAGAGGGGCTCCCGTGGATGAGGGAGACGCGAGGGACGATGGTGGTTCCAGAAACGCTGGGTGAAAAGGTGTCGGCAGCAGTGTGGCGTCAGCAGATGTCTGAGACCTACTGTTCCTTTGTTCTCGTGTGAGGCTGCAGGGTACCTGGTCTGGGTGCTCAGAGGGTTCATATGTTTCTAGAATAGGATCCAGAAATACAAACAAATGTAAAAATCTGGAAAGCCACTGGTTTCTCAGTGAATACGTGTTTTTAGAGATTAGAAGACAGTTTTAAATCAATGTATTAAATAAATGTGATAACCTATACAACTATCATCAAGATGTCAGAACATATTTCAACATTCAAACTTCAAAATTTTAAGTGATTTATCTCGTTATCTCATATAGGTAGGTACTCATAGAAAAGCCAAGAGTGGAAGCTAGTCTTGTGATGACTAATTTAAAGCTCTTCTCTTAAGACACTGTCTCTCTGGCTAGGCATTTTTGCGGATACATAGTCTATGGGCTTTTCCAGAGCAGGACAGAACCAGAGAAGAACAGAAATCATGACGTATCTGTAAGTACCCATTACTCTGCTCTACAGGGTAAAATTGTAGTAAGACACAGAGGCCCCATCCCACCAGACATTCTCTGAATACCTTGCAATCCCTGTAGAATCTGTATTCTTTGGGTCCTCAGTGCACTCATCTCCACAGTGATCTAAAAATAAAGTATTCCGTTAAGCATGCTGAAATCCAACTTGAAAGACAAATCCACTTTCATCACACCTTCTGTCTGTTGTCACCTGCTGTTTGAGCATAAGCAGTCTCTGAACTTCAATGTAAGCTGTCTGAAGTGCTGCCCGCGCTTGCACAAGGTTGTTATCCATGCACTGTAGTGATTTACTTAGTTCTTCCTCCCTTAAAGAAATATTCAGCAGCTGGTCAACCTGAGAACGTTCTGCAAGAAATCAGATGGTTTAATACTGAAATTTATCTTTAATAATACAACTCCTCAAAAAATGAGCTGAACTGATTATTCTTTCTAATAGGTCATATTAGAGATCTATTGATTTTCACAGAACATGTATTGAAGGTAATATCAAAGCTAGAAACTAAAAATTGAGAACTGGTAGGCTGTAGGTTCAAGTACACTATTACTCTGTACTGTCTTACCTAATTACCTTCCACCAAATACCTTTACAGGTGAAATCCATGTTCTAGGCAAATCAGCTTTGAGGTGGTATGTTCCATTCTTTTGGTATGCCATTCTTTTCACACAGGGCTTTTGCTTAGATCAAGAGTAAGATCTAGGCTGCTGGCTCTCTCCTCCTCCTAACCTTTATTTTTCCAGTCTGTTAACTCAAAATAGTTCTGCTTATTACAGAAAGCTTCCTGAGGAAATACTGCTTTGATAGAATACATTTAAATGTTCTACTATGTGTATGTATTCCAACACCTGTGTGCTAAACTTCACACCCACACATCAACTATGATATCCCAACTTAAGTGTCTCAAGGGTCCTTCAAGCAATGAATCCAAACGGCAATCTGCCATCTTTCTATACTTTCAACTTACTCCCATTGGGGAATTTTCTATCTCTACTAACGGTATCATCATTTATCCAGGCTAAAACTGGAGCCACCCTTGACACCTCCTCCCTCATTTATCACATCCATTTGCCACCCCACTCTGTGACATGACTCACTTTCTGCTTATACTGCAACTCGATTTAAGTCAACAGAAAGTCAAGAGTCAGAAGCATTATCAGTGAGAGAAAAACTGTTCATATCTACCCTTTGAAATTCCATTAAAAAGGTAACCAAGACACCTCAAAAACAGAAAATGGGAAAAACGGCTACTTATATGTTACTAAGAGGCATAAAATACTAAATATCCTGTTGCTTTCATCCCACCTAAAAGGCCAATGAGATTTTCTCACTTTACAATATATTAACTGTATTAACCGAGATATATTCACTGTAACTTACAGCTGTATGCGACCAATTTCTGCTATTGTTATAAATGGATGTTGTGGGAAATCAAGCTTTTCTCTACCCTTCAGCCAGGCAGCAATAATTCAAAGAAACGATACACAGATCATTAGTGTTTGATCACTGCGAGTTACATTCCAGGTCAAGTTGTAAAAAGGCTAATGTGCTATTAACACAATGCTCTGCCAGAATATTCCGCACCATACCTTTCTTTCCTTTAATTTTTCTTCTTTTGTTCTTTCTCTCAAGACTTGGGAGTTCAGGAGAAGATCCATCCTGGAAGGATAAGACAAGTGGAAAATACTATATAGGTAAAAGCTGTCACGTGAGAGAGGTAAAAACAATCAGTTCCAAGATGGCCAGACACTGCTCATCAGGTCCCACACACAAGGTACAAACTGAAGTACTACTTGAATGAAAGTACTGATCTAAACAAACAAAACAAAAAGGTGGAAAATAAAATTTAAAAAACAAACTAAACTATTTGTGAGGTAAAACAAAGATATCCTCTGGTCATAAGACAACTGTTAGCATAAAAGTCTGTTTTCAAGTTTTCAAAAATGTCTGCTACATAGTATTCAGTTCAGAGGAATCCAGGAGGAAGCCAAGTTCTTAGCTACTCCGTGTACATATTTTCCCAAAGGACCAGAATCTAGACTGTATCACTACCAAGAGCTTTTTCAGCAAGGGGGCCTGAGAAGGCAAGGCAATATAAACGACAAAGAGGCATCAGACAGGGAGTGAACCAGCAGATGGAACACCTTCTTTCTCTGCAACTCCTTCTCTCTGTAAATCTGCCTCTCTGATAAAAATAAATCTTTAAAAAGAAAGGAAGAGAAAAAAAAAAAAGAGGGAAAATATTAAAGGGCCAGGCTGTGTAATGGTCCAAAGCTAGAGTTACAGGGACTAAAAATATATATACACTATGCTCGTAGATATGTACTCTAGTAGTATTAAATCACCTTAATACGATGCCTAGTAGTTGGGGCTCATCCAGGTCCTATAAACACAACAGAATTCCTTTCTCCAGCAGAAGTACAGAATGCAGCTATGGAAACATTAAGTTATAGCTGAAGATAAGACTTAGCCTTGGTCAGGTGATAAAACCACCACTGGCTTGGAGATTAATTTTAAAGATGACCTCATATTTTCCTAGTACTGTACATTCATATCAGGTTACACTGAATTTAGCAGAATTACTCAATGCAAACAACCAGTAGGATAAAAGAGCCTCGTAATTCTGCTATTCTGGAGTGGAGAGTGTCAATCTCAGATGCCCAGAAAAATTCAACAGTACATTTTCCTTATAAACAACCAAGCTGGCACAGAGATAATTTACCAAAAATACACAGGAATTGTACTCACTCCGGTGGCTCTTCGTTTCTTCCTAATACTCGGGCAATCGTTTTGTTCAGCACCAGAGGTACAGCTGCTGTCTGTGGCTGCATCCGCTAAGCTGGAGCTTGCCAGGGCTAAGGATGCATCCGATGGTGAGTTTCTTTCTCTTTTACTCTCCTGAGCAGTCTGACGCTCGCATGGTGGTGTAGACCTTTCCTGGCTGCCCAAGTCTTCAGCTGAGTGCACTGCGGGCATTATCCGGTCAGAGGGTACTTGTGCACTGGGTTCATCTGCTCTCAGGGTGGTGCCCAGAGACGTCGCTTCCTGTTTAAGGCGCAGCATTCCTTTAGGACTCTGTGCAGCCGCCAGTGAGTTATTCAGCGACACAACCTGCTGGGGCTCATTTTCTTTGCTCCCAGTTTCCTCAGTGAAGAAGCTATACATGGAAGGTGCCCTGTCCACAATCACACTGCTCTCAGAAAGGCTTCGCTTCCTCGCCAAGCCAGGAGAGGAAGAGATGGAAATGCCTTCCCAATGGAATCCTTCTCGATCAGACAGATCAGGTTCCCCATCCAAATCTAAGGTCTCCTGCTCATTTTGAACCAGGGGTACCATTTCTATACCGAACCTTAAGGGAAAAGAAAAAAAAAACATGAACCAGATGTGGTTGAGGAGGATGCACACTATTTAATGTGCCAGGCTTCACTAAATACTGAGGACACAAAAACAAGTTAAGATGGGTCTTGTCTTCAAGGAACTCCCAGATCCTTACACAGCTATGAGAATACAGGTAAGGGAGTAAAAGTTGTAGGTTTGATTCCAAGTGCAGTTGTAAAGCTGTGACAGCAACAACAAAAGCAATTGTTAAGCACTCAAATTAAAAAAAAAAAACAAACACCTTTCATTGAACACTCAAGCCAGGCATTATGCTAACAATCTTTATACTTCTCGAGTACTACTCACGAGTGTAGTAAAGAAAAAAGGAGCAGAGCAAATCCATTATTTCAACAACAGAAAGGTAGTGTGCCATCAGTTCCAGACAGAAGGTAACGGGAGTGGTTACAGTTCAAAGTCCTACCACTCATCCCTAAACTAACACCTGGAAAGATATGGATTCACAGATACATTGCTTGGTGAACTTGCTCTCTCTAGCCCCTTTAGATGGTTTTCCCCTATAACTCCGCTGCATTTCTGAGAAGTATGGGGGCTTCTATTTTAACTGGCATTTCCTGCTAGTGAACATTTTATTTCATTTGTCATAGAACAGTACTCTAATAGTAAACAAAACTAGCCATTTACAATGGGTATTTTTGATAAGCATTTAACTTAATGAAGCAAGCAGAATTCCGTTGCCCAAGGTCAAAGGGTAACTTAAAAAGAAAAAAACAAAAAGAAAGAATCCAGCCATTGTGGTAGCTGAGGAATGAACCAATGGGTGGAACTTTTTGTGTCTCAAATAAATGAAACAGAATTTTACAAATTAATAGAACACAAGAGAGAAAGAAAACTAGATACTGAAGAAAGGCACCAAACCTGGGTAGGCCTTTGCCCAGCTCTTGTTTTTTCTTGGTTACTTGCTGAATGACCTGCTCCCAGTTGACGTTTCTCCGAGACGCGTTGAGGATCTGCCGTAGAGTTGGCTTGAGTCCAGATTCCTTGTCTGTCTCACTCTTTCGATGACCACTAATGTTGCGAATTCGGCGAGCACTGTTGAGATTCGGCTCGGGGAGGTGGGTTCCGGTTTTGCTCTTCAAACTGATGTGCCGGGTTAGATCTCTCTGGAGTGAGGCAGGAAAGCCAAGCTTGCTTAGTTCAGGCAGAAGGGAGCCTGAGGGCTGACCGCTATCGTCCTTTGGGAGCTCTCCGTCCAAGCTGGCGATCTCAAAGCCTTCTGTTTCGTCAGATCTGTGACATTTAACGGAGTCATCAACCTGTGCATCCTCTAGGGAGGTTTTCAAGTCTAACAGTAAGCTATGGTGTGGGCTGGGTGCGGAAGTCACTGGCAACTCAGACTCTTTCTGGAGGGGTGTGGAGCTACGTGGGGAACCAGACAGATTTTTAGGGGTCTTCAGGACTTGGTTTTCTCCCTCCTTCTCATCAGAAGCCTGACTGCTACAGGATAGAACTTGTGCCGTGGAAGAACCCAGGGATCCAGGCTTTGTTCTGTGCTTTTCCTTGTGGGATGTCTCCCCATCACTTTCGTCTCCTAATGCGCGCACCTGGAGCTCGATCTTCAGAGACCCTCTTTCTGACTCCTCTACGTTCCGGCTCATTTTTGCATAGTTCTTGGTCCTTTTAGAACTGCTGAGCAGTGGAGTTTGCAGTGACTCCTGACACTGCAGCACCTCTTTGGCTTTTCGTAATGTATCATTCAAACTGTCATGGGGTTTCTTAGGAGGGCCACACTTACTTTTATTCCCCTTTGAAGTACGAGGACATGAACCATGCAATTTGGAACTGGAAGAACCATGATTATTTTCCTTAGTAGGTTTGTTCAAGGGATTCAAGTATTCTCTGGGCAAAAAAGAATTTCTTTTGGTGTTCTTTGAGGGATTCTTTGAATCCTGCTTTTGAGGAACTGATTTAGTGGCTGGCCTTAGAGGGGGCGGGGACTTCATTGCTGGCATCTTATTGGAGTTGTGTTCACACTCAGGTTTTTCTGTAACAGCACACTCTCTCACCCCCTCACAGGAAGCGGTGCAGTCAGAAGTGGCTTTGTGACTAAGAGACCCAGTAGGTATTTCTTTTTGTGCTGACATTAGGAAATTACTTTTACCAGCTTGAGGGTCTTGCATTCCTGTGGGTATTAAACTAATATCAGACAAAGGTTTATCTGTCTTTTCTGAATTGTTACCACTGACTTCTTTCAGAGCTGACTGTGGATCCAGAGTCTTCTGGGAGGGATATGGCGTCCAGCGATGCTGCTTTTCCCTTGTTACATTACTATTCTTTCCACCAGTTTTGGAAGCTGCAGTGTCAGTCTGTTTAGTGGTTTGGCTTTCCAGTTGTTCGAAGTTGAAGTTAAGTAAGTTTTCTGAAGGATACTTATCACTTGTAAATCCTTCAGAAGAACCTCCATATGCAACAACTGTACCCACTTTATCACTTTCTTGCCACTGCCAATTATATCTCTCCTGACCGTACAGGCTTGCCTTACCAGATTTCTTGTTCCATGGCACGGTCTTATCTTCCTTTTGAGAGTTAGAGTTTCTGTTCCACCCTGGTTGAAATCTGTCTCTAGAGCCACTGTAATTCCAGTTATTTGTGCTACGTACACTGGATTTCCAGTTTCCATTACTGCTGTTCATATGCCAACTGGAAAAACCACCTGTTCCTTCAAAATGCCAACTGGAATTCCTTCCTGATCCATTATGATTCCAATCTACTAATCCACTATTTGGATGCCAGCTACTCCCAGGGTTACTATGGCTGTGAAACCAATTCAGGGAGACTCCTGAAACATCCTTATGCCATCCAGAACGTCCTCTTGCTCCACTGTTCCTCAAGTGAGAAAAACTGTTTAACCTGTTACTGTTAAAGCCATCATTCTTCCATGTCCAATCCCACTGTGGAGGTCCACGGTGATGCCTGCCTGCTTGACTATAACTCTCTCTATCTTGGTAAGGGAGTCGATCTTCTCGTCTCCTTTGGGGTCGTCTATCATCAGAGTTTATTTCTTGGCTGCTCTTGGAAGGTTCATTTTGTCTGTAAGAAAAAGAGTTTCTCATTAATGATTTAAAGGCATTCACAAGCTTCCTTTAAGGGCATTATCCTTCATCCTTTCTTCTACCATCCTCTCTGCTAAGAGTACATAACAGAGCCTATTTTTATATCTATGAGATAGTTAAATTTATATTTCTCAACTCATTAGCTTAAACTATTTCCCCTGTACCACCAATTATGTTAAAAGTTGGCCAATGTTCATTCCTCTTCCTTTCTTTGATGTGCTTTTTTGTTGTTGTTGTTTCAAGAATCCAACTAATATTTTACATTTATGGAGCTTTTTGATTTTTTAAATTTTTATTAAAAATCTCGACCATGCCAGGACAGGTGGAGCAGCCAGGACTCAAACTGGCTCCCAATGGGATATCAATATTGCAGGTGGCAGCTTGGCCTATACTGGCTATTTCCCAGCCTCATGGATCTTTCTTAAAATAAAAACAATATCGCTATGGTTAGTTATCATAGTTAATAAAATACTATTTCAGTTTAAGTTCTTTCTGCAAAACGTGGAGCGGCTGACACTGTGGCGTTGTAAGCTGAGGCACTGATATTCTATATGGGCACCAGTTTTACTCCCAACTGCTCCACTTTCAATCCAGCTCCTTGCTAATGGCCTAGGGAAAGCAGCACAGTATTAGAGATTTGGTCCTGGGCAGAAGATTCCACTCCATTCCTAACCACTAGACCTGGATAGAATTAGATATCCAGGGCCAGCATGGTAGCCTAGGGCTAACCTCGCCTTGAACATGCTAGGATCCCGTATGGGTGTCAGTTCTTATCCCGGTGGCCCCGCTTCCCATCCAGCTCCCTGCTTGTGGCCTGGAAAAGCAATTGAAGACGACCCAAAGCCTTTGGACCCTGCACCAATGTGGGAGACCAGGAAGAGGCTCTTGGCTCCTGGTTTCGCATAAGCTTAGCTCCAGCCACTGTGAGTGATCACTTGGGGAGTGAATCAGCAGACAGAAGATCTTCCTCTCTGTCTCTCCTTCTCTCTGTATATCTGACTTTGTGATAAAAATAATATAAATCTTTTTTTTTAAAGATTTATTTTATTTTTATTGGAAAGGCGGATATACAGAGAGGAGAGACAGAGAGGAAGATCTTCCGTCCGATGATTCACTCCCCAAGTGAGCGCAACAGCCGGTGCTATGCCGATCTGAAGCCAGGAGCCTCATCCAGGTCTCCCACGCGGGTGCAGGGTCCCAAAGCCTTGGGCCGTCCTCGACTGCTTTCCCGGGCCACAAGCGGGGAGCTGGATGGGAAGAGGGGTCGCCAGGATTAGAACTGGCGCCCATATGGGATCCCAGGCGTGCAAGGTGAGGACCTTAACCACTGCGCCACCGCGCCGGGCCCAATAATATAAATCTTAAAAAAAATTGAATCTTCTAAACTAGTTTGGTTTCTTTCCCTAAACTAGATTTAAACCTTAAACCAAGCACTGACTTTAACTCGCTTTTTTTTTCTTTTACAAATTGAATTATAACTTCATTTAACTAAAACTTCACTCACTTAACACTACAAAGAACCACCCTTTCTAGGGTAGGGCATTTAGCCTAGTGGAATGTCTGCATCCTGATTTTAGCCGCCTCTACCTCTGGGATACAGAGGTAACAGCTCAAGGAATGGGTTCCTGCCACTTGTGTAAGCACAAGGACTGAGTGCACATTTCGGGCATAAGCCAGCACATGGGGTATGCAAAAGCTGTCTCTACCTGGAAAGAACTAAATTAAAGAAAACAGTTCTGGGGTAGACAGCCAACAGTTGGGATGTGGGTGAGATTCCTGTCCCCTGTTGAGTGCCTGTGTCTGGCACAAATACCTGGCTCTGATTCTGACTCCAACTTCCTGTTAATGCAGACCTTGGGAAGGAGCTGTGAGAGCTCAACAAACTATGCCCCTGACACTCCAGGGTGAGACACAGACTGCACCTTGGCTCAGCTTGGGAAGCATTTGGGGAGGGAGCTAGCACATGGGAATATTCTCTTGAACTGTTTTCTTAGAAAAAAAAAATTGTTATAATCACTTCTCAACAGGAGACCTTCTGTTCCCAAGTAACACGTTATTACACATACCACAAGATTGTAAAGAAAAAAAAAATCATTAACCAAATTGCTTTTACCTTTTATTTCTAAGCAGCGGACAATTCTGGTATCCAAGGAGATCACTGTCTTAGCTATACTAATATAATTAGTAATAAGATAATTGGTAAAAAAAAAAAATCATTCATGAAGTATATTTTCTAGGTCATCATGAACTGGTTACACTGAGGGAATAACAGCATTTAGTCAAACTCACAGCCCACCCCTCACCCCCAAAATCTTAGTTTAAAATTTCCTAAGGAAAAAAAAATCAAGAAGAAATAAGTAGACAATTTTATAAACATGTCACCGAGGCCTATCAAAAGACTCAAATAGTAACTATGAGAGGAATGTCTGATCTACTCAGATTCTCTTTTACTCTCTGACTTAATGTCCAGTCACTGACACAGATAAGCTAATAACGGAACTAGCGGGTAAGAACAAGCAGCAGCTCATCTCCTAGGGGCTCCAGCACCTAACCCAGAACAAAGTGAAAATACAGCTATATTAAAAGCATGGAGAATGTGTGAAAGAGTAAGCAACTGAATAATTTAAGAACTAATGCTGCTATGTTTTTAAAACTACAGAAAAGCCTCCTTCAGACCCTTGTTCAAATACAACTTTAACACAGAGTAAAAACTATACACTTCCTTTGTATATCCAAACCTCTAATTAAAAATAACCACTCTCTGAGAAGGAGTTCTAACATTTCACTTTAGAATTTGAAATATTTCTCATCATCATGTCACAGTACTTCGAAACTAATTCTGCCGTAATTGGTTTCCCCACTTTCACTTCCACCTAAAAATGTCTGCTTTGATTAAACTCTTTAGACTATAAAACAGTCAAAACACAGTGCCCAACACACGAATGTACAAATGTAAACATGAAATCATGCACCACACAACCTACAGTCATCTGGCACAAATCAAAAATAAAAACGTATTCAGTAAATATTTATAGATTTATTGAGAGTGAACCAATCACCATAGAAGTCACTGAGATTTCAAGGAGAAACTAAATTTGACAGAAGCATCATGCTAATTCACATCCAGTAAAAACCTATTTCCTTGGCTATGTTACTTTGGCAATAGGAAATACCATATTCAATGAGGCTTATACTCTAATACCTTTCCACAAGAATAAAAGTAGTTCAAAACCTGGTTAACAACATAATAAAATTTTCAAATATGTAACTAAAGCTAGTTATGTAAGGACAATATTCATTTTGGTTAATGTTAAGCAAATAGTACTCAAATAACAGAGAATGCATTCCACCGCCTTTTTATTCATCGCATAGCAACCTCAAGCAACGCCTCATAACTAAATTTACCTGTGACATGCTGAAGAGTATAAAAATGTAAAATGTATTCTATAATCTATACGGTGTTCTGTGACAAGATGAGCTTCTTAAGGAAAACTGAAATCCTTACTTACCGACTTTGTTCTTTCCTTTGTTTTATTAACTGAACAAGTTCCTTGTCAAAATACTCTTCTTCCTCTTCATTTTCCTTTCCATCATCTTCTCTTTCCTGGGCATCAACCTTATCTTTGTGCAACTGGCTAGAAATGTGCTTTGCATACGCGGAGAGACCCACTTCTGTGACCCCGCACACGCGGCACTCATGACTGCTGTCCCTAGGGAAAGAGGGAGATGAAGGACATTCAATCCTCCCCACTGGCATGGCAAACTCAGCAGGTCTGTTACAGGTTCCTCTGAAATACACTGCACCCTTGGATGCAATGAAAAATTAGTGCTAGCCAATTCCAATGCTCCTTTCATCCACTTTTAATAAACTGTTTGAGAAGTTACTTTGGAAATGAATTCAAGATTATTTTCCAGCAATCAAGAGGCAATACGCTTGAGGTTAAGGTAGTACTTGGGGAGGAGAAATCGTCTTGAATTGCTGTACTTAAAATCTTGCCAGAGGAAACATGGTGAAAGGGGAGGCAGGGCAGGGGGCTCAGAGCAAACCCAAGTTGCCCTGGAGCACACCCATGATGCCAGCTGCACTCAAGGGCCCGGTGACAAGGCCTCCCTTTTCATCTCCTGCTGCGGCGGTTCCATCCAGTCAAAGCTAAGGGGTGGAGAACAGAGGGGGTGGCAAGGCCAATCCCGAGGGGGTAACTCGATCTGAACAGCTGGAACTCTGCCTGGAATGCCAAGATTCCGGACCAGGGGCAACTGATAGACCCAAGCAAACTTTTTTGGTCTGGATGATACATGTGATCCACATGCTGCTTCAGAAGGGCTTATTTTAAAGAGAATGGAAAGCATTTCGGTTGTAGGAGGCGAACAGCTGTTGTCAGGCAACTGTTTTTTCTCAAGTTTCAGAAAATGCCATAGAAAGAAAGAAAAGAGAAAGCTTGAAGAAAAAAAAGTAAAACCAGGTTTTCAGGTAAACAGGGCAGACATCTTTTTTTCTTAATACATTAAATGGTATATCTCAAACTGGCCACAGTCTAGAATCATGGCCAGAGTTATGGTAAATAATAATAATAATAATAACAACTGCTTTTTAAGTTCCTTAATCCTTTGCGTGGACTGGCTGTCGTTCAGGAGGAATATTTGAACACTAGAGTTACAGAACAGTAGTAACCATTTCAAATCCAACTAGCTAGCCGCCTTAAGTCTGCATCATGCATCTTGAGTTCACACTCGTGACATTTTTGCACTTTCTATGCCAATCTATAACAACAATAACAAAAGACAATCTGTCTTCGGCCAGATAGCCATACATGCACATCTCTTCATCTTTCCCTCGCATTCAGCCAAACAACACAAGGGCAGAATTTGTATGAATTAACCAGAAGAGACCCTCAAAACTCAGCACCTCATTTAGCAGAAGATGACCATCATTACACATTACCCAAGTGTTCAACAAAAAACAAAACACAACAACAACTTACCAAGCAACTACAGAATTCCAGAAGTTATGCTAAGATTATGGTCAGTGCTGCAATTACTTCCATAATACCTAGTCAGTTTAAAAAACAAAGCTGTTTCGTACTTTGTGGGGATCACGAAGACTGCCTCACAAAGAGAAAATTTTTAGGCTTTTACCTGTTTTTAGGGCTTTGCAAACTCAAAGTCTGATGTTGCAGAAAAAACGTGAAATGCTTATTTCACTTCTATTTCTTTGCAAGGCAGAGACAGTGACATTGAACTTCCCAAATGCCTGTAATAGCCAAGGCTGCATCAGGATTCGGATTCAGGAGCAGAGAACTACATCCAGCTCTCCAACATAGGGGCAGGAACCATCTTCTGCCTCCTTCACAGGAACATTCATAGGGGGCTGGATTAGAAATAGCCAGGATTGGAGAGACACTCTCTCATATGGAATGCCACCGCAAGTGGTAGTTTAAGCTGCTGCACCATCATGCTGGTTCCCCTCAGGATCTATAAAATGCTACATTGTATACTGCAGTACCAAGATCATCATTCTTAGTGGTAATTTAATGTAACGTATAAAGAGTAAATTCCTGATTTTACCCCTATATCTAATATGTAGAGAATTTTCCCTATGTACAAAATATCAGAATTCTAAGAATCAAGAATCCTCTCTTGGGGTAACCCTTGTGGCACAGTGAGCAAAGCTACCACTTGTGGTGCTGGCATCCCAGATATATTCCAGTTAGTGTCCTGGCTGCTCCACCTCCAATTCAGTTCCTTACCTATTGCCTGGAAAAGCAGCAGAGGATGGCTCAGGTCCTTGGGATCCTGCACCCCTACCAGAAACTCAGAAGAAGCTGCTTGCTTCTGCCCTTAGACCGGCCCAGCTCTGGCCATTGTGGCCATTTGAGGAGTGAACCAGTGGATGGAAGACCTCTCTGTTTCTCCCTCTAAATCTTTCAAGTAAATAAACAAGCCTGTTAAACTGCTGTACTTAAAATCATGCCAGAGTGAAAGCGGAAGTAGGGCAGGGGCTCAAAGTTGCTCTAAAATAACAGAAAAACACCTTCCCTCCCTAAAGACACAATTGATTTTTTTAAATGAAAGAATTTTAAAGTAGGTAAAATCCAGGCCCAGTGTGGTAGCATAGTGGCCAAAGTCCTTGCCTTACATGCATCAGGTTCCCATATAGGAACTGGTTTATGTCCCAGCTGCTCCGCTCCCATCCAGCCCCCTGCTTGTGGCCTAGGAAAGCAGTCAAAGGCGGCCCAAAGCCTTGGGACCCTGAACTCGCGTGGGAGACCTGGAGGCAGCTCCTGGCTTTGGATCTGCTCATTTCTGGCCATTTTGGCCACTTGGAGAATGAACCAGTGAACACAGGATCTTTTTCTCTGTCTTTCCTTCTCTCTTTGGATCTTTCCAATAAAAAAATGAATATATATTTTTTTTAACTTTTAAGATATGGAGCCAGAATGGTGGATCAGGAAGATAATCCTCCAGCTGTGGCTCTGGCATCCCATATGGACATGGGTTTCAGTCTCAGCTGCTCCACTTCCAATCTGGCTCCCTGCTTGTGGCCTGGGAAAGCAATTGAGGATGGCCCAAGGCCTTGGGACCCCGTACCAACATGGGAGATCTCTGCTTTTGACTTCAAATTGGCTCAACTCTGGCCACTGTGGCCACTTGGGGAGTAAACCAGCAGATGGGAAGATCTTTCTCTGTTTCTCCTCTCTGTAAATCTGATTTTTCAATAAAAAATAAATCTTTAAAAAATTTTTGTTGTTGTTGTTGAAGTCTAAGCCATGGTACACAAGTTACAGCGCCACCTGCAGTGACACCAGCATCCCATCTCAGAGCACCTGTAGGAGCCCCTGCTCTGCTTCCCATGAGGCTCCCTGCTGCCCTGGGAAAGCAGGGCCCTGTAATCATGTGGAGATCTTGGACCCTGGCTTCAGTCAGTCCACCAAGGCCATTTGGAGGTTAATCAGTGCACAAAATCTCTTCTCTCTCTCTCTCTCTCCTCTCTGGTACTCCTCCTCCTTTCCAATCAAATTAAATTATATATATATATATATATAGTGAAAATTTTTCAAAATAAATTAGAAAATATTTTTGCAAGGGTGTTGTAGCCCAGTGGGTTAATGGGCTGCTTGGGATGCCACACTCCACACTGGAGCACCTGGTTTAAGTCCAGGCTACTCTTGATCCAGCTCCCTCCAATAGCCCAAATCATTTGGGTTTCTACCATACACATGGGAGACCTGCACAGAGTTCCTAACCCTGGCTTTGACCTGGCCCAGTCCTGGTTGTCGCAGGCATTTGGAAAGTAAACTGGGCAGGCAACGGATGCTTGTGTGTGCCTTTCAAAGGAAAAATTAAAAACAGATATCACTAATGCTTTTCTTATCAACGAAATCTAGTTTTTTAAAAAAAGAGATAAACTTTACAAGATATTTTAAAAAGAGAGAATCTATATTTATAAAAACCACATTTTATGAAAATTCAAATGTGATTGGAGGTAACTATCACTCCTGTTCTGAATGCCGTAAGAATTCATGACTTCACATATGACATTTGAAAAGCTATATGCTTTTAAAAGTTCATAGCAAATTAAATAACTTACTTTTGTTATTTTCAAATTTTTTTCATTTTGTCTTCTATTTTTCTTTTAAAATTTTTTCTAAATATATTTGTTACATTCTATATAAGAACTAATTTATACAAATATAAAAAAAAAATTATGCTTTGCTTCTTAGCTAATAAAGGCAATGACCGTCCCCGGGGAGGTTACAGGAGGGCCCAAATTAGCCTCATCCTGCTCCACACAATTTCCTCTCCTGTGTGAAAGGCAAAGTCTTAAGATACTCGCTCCAGAAGGGCTTCTTTATTAAGCTTGTTCTAACTACCCCACAACAGCTGCTGGATAAATAAAGGTTTGAGCTTTTCGAATAGCATCTATCAGGAGAACTACTTATAGCCCGCACATCTGAACAAGTATATCAGCAAAAAGGGAAGACAGTTCTGGAGGTCCGTAACTATGTAACCAACAGGACAGTAACTTTTCATTCAAGATGTAATTCAAAATTTAAACACAGATATTCAATTCTAAACCAAAGCACAACCAACAACAACCATAAACACAATTGTAAAAACAGATAAACCCCTAACATCAGTAAGCAAATTTAGTAGCGGACATTCACCTTAAGCTCATGTCCCACACTGGAATGAACTAGTTTGTGAAAGTTCTAGCTTTCATCTCAAGTAATACTTTTGTTTGTTTTTTAAACCTAATAGCTAAGCATGAAATCTAAAGGAATGAGAAGACAACAAAAAGAGAAAGCATCAGGGAAAAGAAATAATGACTGGTAAGTACCTGACCACATGGTACAAACTGGTGATGACTGTCCTTACAGTGACGACTCCAAGTCATCAAATTTTGAGATTTTATAGTTTTGCTTTGTCTTAAAGTCATATATACAGAGAGGAAGATTTTTCCATCCGATGATTCACTCCCTAAGTGGCCGCAATGGCCGGAGCTGTGTCAATCCAAAGCCAGGAGCCAGGAACTTCCTCCAGGTTTCCCTTGTGGGTGCAGGGTCCCAAGGCTTTGGGCCATCCTCAATTGCTTTCCCAGACCACAAGCAGGGAGCTGGATGGGAAATAGGGCTGCAGGGATTAGAACCAGCGTCCATATGAGATTCCGGGCACATTCAAGGCAGACTTTAGCCACTACGCTACCATGCCAGGCCCTGAGATTTTACAGTTTTTTAAGAAAGCCATTTTGTCAGTTGTTTTTCTTATTATCAGCTTGCCTTTTCCCTTGTAATTTGTTGTAGTTCAGGGAACCACATCAAACACATTAGCTATACCTGTCTCACTGTGCTAAACACTATCTATTACACTCTATGTGAAAGACTGTAAGGAAAGCGCTTGTAGGCAACCAACACAAAGGTAAGGGGGTCTGTTATGGCATAACAAGTTAAGCTGCCATTTGCGATGACAGTGTCCCATAAAATATCAGCTCAAGTCCTGGCTCTGCCTCCAATCCAGCTCCTTGCTAATGCAACCAGAAAAGCAGAGGGAGATGGCTCCATGTGGGAGATCCAGATGAAGTTTCAGGTTTTCAGCTTTAGTATGAACCAGCCCAACCACTGTGGCTATAAGAAGTGAGGCACAGTGGCATAGCAAGCTCATCTTCTACTTGCAGCATCGGTTTGAGTTCTGGCTGCTCCACTTCTGATTCAGCTCTTTATTTATGGACTGGGAAAGCAGCAGAGGATGGCCCCAAGTCTTTGGGATCTTGCACCCATGTGGGAGATCCGGAATAAGCAACTGGCTTTGGACCAGCCCAGCTCTGGCAGATGCAGACATCTGGAGAGTGAACCAGTGAATGGAAGATCTCTCTTTCTGTAACTCTCCTTTCATGTAAAATAAATAAACCTTTTAAGATAAGCAAGTATATTGTATTCAACATTCATCTAAAATATTCATATATTATATGCCGTACATGAGTAAGCACAAAATTACTCTCTTCTGAATAGTCTGGATATTCAAGCTGAAATTTATATTGGAGGATCAAAAACTTTTAATGCTTTTTTCCTCATTATCTACTGTCCCAAATAACAAAGGGACACGGTTATGTTGTTTCCAAGTAGGAAGGAGGAACATGCTACAGAACAACACATATTGACATCTTGCTCAGTTATACTAACAAGAAAACAAAATGTAAGCATTAACATAAGTCCATGTAAGCACACACAAAAGTTCTCAACACGACGAAGAGCGGATATGATTCTCCCCTAGGGTGAGGAGGGAGAAAGAGTAAGAGGATTTTTTTTTTTTTTGGTGTGATCTTTATTGTGAACATGAATCTTAAATAATCAAAACTTGTTTTTTAAAAAAGTTTTGAATGGTTGCTTAGTGATCTCTGAATCCGTTAAGGTCCCAGCCTTGGAAATCAATGGGCTTCCCTCCTACTGACCAGATTTACCAACCTCACTTAGTTTTATTTTACATTGCACATGGGGCACGTGGCACTTGGCAGTCACCAAGGTAAAGTGAATGTAAGATCTATCACTCACTGAGATCCTGGAGAGGAAAAAATCGCACTAATGTGTTGAAAAGATGCCGAGTGCTCGCTTCGGCAGCACATACACTAAAACTGGAAGGAGAAGATGCTGAAAGTTGAATCACACACTAATTTTTCCACAACATCTACAACTTCATGAGTTAGATACAAACCATTTCAATTGATCTAGGTTTCTACTCATGGAATTAAAATACAATTTAGGTCTCTCCGTTTCCTAATATTTTCTCCCGTTTTCCACACTTTAAAGTAGTAGTTAAAAATACCGAAAAAGGAATCATAGACGGGGGGAAAAAACAAAAACACAGAAGCTTTCATTTTTAAAGGTGTTTATTAGATTGTTTTTCCCTAAAAATCTCAAGCTTTAAACTATAACACAACACTCATAAATACACTGCAGGTTTACAATTTACACTACGGAGAGTTCCTGTGATTAGAAGACTTGGGATTTCTCAGATCAAACCCCGAGGTTTGTGGGATGAACTATCTGGAACACAACACAGCAAAATATGAACCAGACTGGCTGCAAGGTTGCTGCGTAATAAGAAAGCTTCCTAATGAAAGTTCTAGCTGATTCCAACTCACTTTGCTTGTTATCTACTTGTTGAAGGGTTGTTATGTCTACACATTTGAGATAGCCAAAGAAAACAGGCTTTATTCCTTCTGAATGCCAGAAGTTTGCTATATTTATTACTAATTCTAAGTGAGTATTCAATGTCCTAAGACAAAGTTCCTTTACCATGGATTACCAGAAATCAAACCATCAGCACTCAGACCCCCACCCCCAATATTTACAAATTTATGGAAGAGAGCAGTCCCCATACCTGCCCTTCAGGTTCTCAAGTTCCCTGTGATGCAACATGCTCCGCATGTGTTCGTCCATCTCCTTCAAAATTAAAGAAAGCAGGTTAAACTAAGGGCCACTGCTTTATCCATTCCTGCTTCTACTTAATAACAACTGAGGCACAAGCTCCTGCATCCCAATTTTTTTTGCAGCGTCTTCTCAATTCAACATGAATCAGTTCTTTACTAAATAATTTTTTTATATTACTCAGCCATTAAAAAGAATGAAATTCTACCATTTGCAACCAAATGGTCCCTACTAGAGATCATTATGCTCAGTGAAATAAGTAAATCCCAAAAGGACAAATAACGTATGTTTTCTCTGATAGAAGGCAATCTTCATGAAAATTATAAGATCAACAGCCCTTTCAATACTGTTTTTGCTGCAACCCATGGGTTTTATTATTTTCGTTTTTATTTTCATTTCTTCAAAATAGTTCCTTTTCTCTTCATTGATTAATCGATTACACAGTAGCATCATTTTCTCCAAATAGCATTTGTGTTTTCTTTTTCATTTCTTCATCGACACACTGGCATGTTACTTAAGTAGCATGTTACTTAATTCCATGGTGCTATAAATATTTTTTTAACTTTATTCCTGTTCTTGATTTTGTTTTATGGCTTCTCACTGAAGAAAATGTATAGTAACTGAGTAACAGATTATCATATTCAGATGTGAAGATACAGTGCAGTATGCATTTCTGCTTCCAAATCAAAGATGGACACACAATGAGACTGTTGGATGTGTCTTGACAATGGAATGCTGGACTGTCAGCAATTGTCTGCACCAGCAATGTCAGGACTCGCTTAAATAGCAGAATGATGGACTTACGACTGTTTATGAAGGCCTACAGTATTCTAATAATATGAGGGAAATAAGTTAGGGGAGGAGATTTGGGGAGGAGATAAAGAAAATCCCAGAATCCCAGGAACTGTTACCATAAAACTAAAAATAAGATAGAAGGGAAAAAAAAAGAAAGAAAGAAAGAAAGAAATACAAAGTAACCCCAGAAAACAAAAATAAAAAAATAATTCACTTTTGGCTGCTTTTCACATATTTAATTTTTGAATAAAATAAATTCTTAGATATATTTAAGTGACTTTCTCTAAAATGGTTGAAAGCTATTGTCTTGAGGAGGCAAAAGATTTAAAATAAACTAGGTTAAATAATACCCTCTTATAAAGAACTTGCTTTCTTAAAGACAAAAACCTCACAAATCACTTTTCAACTATTTGGCTACGTTTATCATGCTCTCCCTATTCTACTGAAAGTTTAAGAAATAAATATTTGTTGAATGAATGTAAATGAACAACTCGATTCTAGTAGGAGTTACAAACAACAGAAATTCTCTACAGCAGATCAGGACGTTTATCCTGCATTATCCTCCCTGTCCATTCCCCCTGTGACCCAACTGATCTGCTTGATTCTATCGAAAACTTAGAAAATTAATAGAATCCTCTCTCATTCCCTCATTTCATCATTATTGGGAAGTAAATAAAATTTGTGGAGAAAGTTGTCACCTAAAAACATGTACACATGAGAACACACTTGGGCATGTGCTTGCACATAAACATCTCAAAAAGCTGCCATCTTTCACTCCAAATAGTCAAATGTCATAACATAGTGTCTATATGGGGTGAATGCTGCAGTACAGTGGGTTAGGCCACTCCTTGGGATGCCAGCATCACCTATCCATGCTGGTCCACTCCACCTCCAATCCACTTTCTAATTAATGCATTTGGTGGCTCAAGGACCAGGACCTTTGTCACCAACGTGACATGAGACATAGTTTCTGGCTCCCGGCTTCTGTCCAGCACAGCCCCAGTTGGGGACATTTGGGCATAAAATCAATGGATGAAATTTTTTCTCCCTCATTCCCTGTCATTTTGCCTTTCAAATAGATAAGTTAAACAAACAACAACAACAGAAAAAAACAAAAACAGACAGACCAGTACAGTAGCCTAGCAGCTTAAGCCAGAGCCTTGCATATGCAGGAAATCATATGAGTGCTGGTTCTAATCCCGACAGCCCCACTTCTCATCCTGCTTCCTGCTTGTGGTCTGGCAAAGTAATCAAGAACGGCCCAAAGCCTTGGGACCCTGCACCCATGTGGGAGACCAGAAAGAAACTCCTGCCTCCTGGCTTCAGATCAGCTCAGCTCCAGCCATTGGAACTACTTGGCTCCTGGCTCCTGCAGCCACTTGGTAAGTGAAACACCAGACAGAAGTTCCTTCTCTCTCTGTCTCTCCTCCTCTCTGTATATCTGACTTTCCAATAAAAAATAAGTAAATCTTTAAAACAACAGAAAAAAAGAGATAATATTTATTTACATTTGTAATAAAAAAAAAAAGGACTTCCACACTACTGAGTATTACTATTACGCCCTGGATAAGTGCGTCAAATATTTTCTTGCTTGAACCACATAGTGCTGAGGGTGTATCAACCTCATAGACACAAGGATGAAGAGAAGTGAACCTGTTCATTTAGCAAATATTTATCAATATCAAAAATACTTATCACGTACTAAGTACAGTGCCAGGAACTGAAGGAACACATATGAATGTACTCAGTTTTGCCTTCTGAGATTCATAGTAAAGTTACCAAATTAGGTCTCAAAACCAGACAGCTCTGACACCAAAGCCAACGTTTCAGACACATCACACTTGCAAGCATCTAGCACATTAATATTTTTCATTACATTCGGTTCATGTATTAAAAACAGTACAGCCTAACAACTCATTATTACTTTAACTAAGATTCAAAAAGACTTCCTTTAAGTGGCAATTTTACTAAAGATGACCATGATTTCCTTCCTATCTCTTCAAATGTTTCATTCGTTGCAAGCCTCCCCTTTGAGCTGCCAATAATACGCCACTAACTAGAATGAACAGAGTTGCATCAGGTTTATGAAAGAATACAGAAAGAAAAAAAAAACCCCAAGAATATGTAATACCTCAAGTCCTTAGGCTTCCTGTGATTCAGTCTGTCCTTGATTTGGAGTTACAAGGCAAATCCCTTTCCTTAAGCTACATTATAATGGGTTTTGTTCCTCATAACCAAACTGTTCGTGATCAAAACAATTCTTACCTAGGTTATTCTGTGATATGAAAACTGATCCTATATCCAGTTCTTTCAAATTGTTATCACTTGGGTCCAGTACAGTAGCCTAGTGGCTAAAGTCTTCATCTTGCACATGCCAGGATCCCATATGGGCACCGGTTCTAATCCCAGAAGCTCCACTTCCCATCCAGCTCCCTGCTCGTGGCCTGGGAAAGCAGTTAAGGATGGCTCAAAGCCTTGGGACCCTGCACCCACTTGGGAGACCAAGAAGAAGCTCCTGGCTTCAGAATTGGCTCAGCTCCAGCTACTGCAGCCAGCCGGGGAGTGACTCATTGGACAGAAGATTTTCTTCTCCGTCTCTCCTCCTCTCTATATATCTGACTTTCAAATAAAAATAAATCTTTTAAAAAAAAACTTATCACTTAAAAGTTGGGGGCCCCCCTTTTTAAATTTATTCATTTTCACTGGAAAAGTAGATCAGATTTACAAAGAGATGGAAAGACAGAGAAGGATCTTCCCTCTGCTGGTTCACTCCCCAAGTGGTCGCAACAGCTGGAGCCGATCTGAAGCCAGGAGCCTCCTCCAGGTCTCCTGTGAGGGCATAGGGTCCCAAGGTCTTATGCCAATCTCCAGTGCCCTCCCAGGCCTCAGGCAGGGAGCTGAATGTAAAGCAGGGCAGCTAGAACATGAACAGGTGCCCACCTGGGATTCCGGCACATTCAAGGTAAAGATTTCACCACTATGCCATTACACTGGGACCTTAAAACTATTTTTTACATGACTTTTCATTTATTAAAGCAATTCATTGAATCTTTTGCTAAATTTACAAGCAAAAGCTGATCTTCCATCCTGTTCCCAAGGAATGAATTAGTGAGATAGGCAAGTTTTCAAAATAATTGGAAAAGACCCATAGACACAGTCTTAGGGTAGCAGTCCCAAATGCATATCTTCTCAGATAACAGGCTTCTATTTAGTTCCTCAAAGATTAATCAGCATTATGTTGTTAAGGGAGGAAAGATTTCATAAACAAACTTGGAAAAAAAACAAGTAATTCTAAAAAACAAAAACAAACTCCATTATTCTTCAGTGTTTTATACACTAATGGACATCAGCGAGGAAGGAATGTAGTAAACAGCTTCCCCCAACCAGACACCCTACTGTCATTTCTCCTACACAGCGTTTGCATAAACCAAGGTTACATTAATTTGAGAAACCAGAGGAAAGTATTACTTCAACATAAATTGTTCAGTTTACTAAAAACACCACAGTTGTTTTTCCAACCAAACCAATTCGTTAATTTCTTAAACCTTTTTATTCACTTAAATCATACCATTCCCTTGCTTAGAAACCTATAATTTCCTTTCCCTAAAGCAGAGGTGACCAACTCTGGTTCTTGAATTACACAGATGACAAAAATTATTTACTTATTTGAAAGGCAGAATAAGAGAGCGAGAACCAGAGGTATCTCCAATCTGCTAGTTCACTCCCCAGGTGGCCACCATGACCCAGGTCTGGGCCAGGCTGAAGCTAGAAACCAGGAACTTCATCCTGGGTTGGCAGGGGCCCAACCGGCTCATCATCTATTTTTTCAGTTGCACAGGTTTACAAAGTGTGGCTTAACCCAGTAAGTCACAAGGCAAGAAACCCCTCCCCAAGCATACTTTAAACCAGAACAGGAGGAAATGCCCCCAAATTCAAAAGGGCACAATCATAGTCTTACAAAACTACAACTCTACAAAAAGGCTGCTATCATTTACCTCTGAGAACCAGCCTACCCATCTCTCACTTTGTCCCCTTCTCCCTTCAGCCTGAAAGCAGTCATAGGAATTTTGATTTGCTGACAATTTGCATAAACCTTGATGGAAAAATCAAAAACTAGAAAGGCAGTTCTATCAGCTTTGCACAAAGGAGCTAATACATATGAAACATAATTCTAGAATTCCAATGGGCTTTTTTCATCACCAACAGAAATCCTAAATAGGGGGAAAAGTCTTCACCTCATCCTACTGTATGGCTCATAACCACCTAGCCCAAAGAGAGCCCGACTCTCTTCACTTCATTACTCATCATAGTCTAACGATTCCCAAGAATCAGATAACCCCTCTGTTCCATTTCACCAGGGTCTCTGTATAGATCTGAAACATCTCTCTTATTGCTAGGAGTCTTTCAAGATTCACTTTATCCCATCTGATTTCCCTGGCTAATCGAAGTCTGTGAGGCTCCATGGTTCTCCGAATTTCCAATGACAATCCAGAGCATCTTAAAATCATACAAAAATAATTCCTCCGTATTCAACCTAGTAGCATCACTTTGAAAGCAAACAAAAGACAAGGCAAAAAAGTGAAAGTTTTCTTAAAGTACCGATAAAATTCTTTTATGCAAGAAAAGGGTCTGCTGTTCTTTGGACAACAGCCCCATCTTGTGGACGTCTAGGATACTGTCACTATCGTTCTGCTGTACTGTACTTCACAAGCACGCAGGCACATAAGTGGGGATCTTCAAAAATTTCAAGGAAGATATATTACAATAAACTTATGAATAGATTCAAAGCTTTCTGCGCCAAAATAAAGCTAACCGTTTAGCTATATCTTTCCACAAACTTTTGGCAGTGCCCTTGTATAATACACGCTGTATCCTTAGCTTATCAAAAACTACCTGGTTTTAAAAATCTCTGAAAATAGTATAAACTCAACCTAATATTGTCTCTGTAACAGCTTACTTATGTTTTTCTGTACTGTTTATCTTAGGGTAACCTCAAAATCTGAGTAGAAGTTAAATAATATGGCTACTGATTTTTTTTGGAAACTAATGAGAAACAAACCAGTGGAAAGGGACCACAGTTTTGAAAAAAATCATAAACAAGAGTTTTAGAAACTTTTACCCATCTATTAACAACATGTCTCTGAAAACACAATTAGTTACAAAGCCCCAGACTAGCCTCCTCCATTACCTTTTTGGAGCTGTACACAATGTGGCACAGTATGCATTTTCGTTCTCGTACCATAGTGACCAGATCCGAAGCACTCAACTTCACACCTGCAATGAGGAAGTGACATTCAGTGACCTGGTTGGGTAAGCGCTGGATTTTGAAAGAAGACCCAAAGGTTTTCTAGCTCCAACCTTTTTCTTGAGTCCCCCTGGTCCTAGACGCGCTACACAAGATTTTCAAACCATTACTACAGCCAGCACTGTTTCACCCTCTAGACAGCGACACCAGATTCTAACAGATACACCTGCTTTCTACACAGGGGATTTGGTTTATTCCTTGTGAGACCTCAAGGCTTTACATCGTGAGTTTCCGAGATACTCCGCTTTCATTTCTAACTCTTATACAAAACTGTAAAAGGACCAATGGATTCACTTCTGTGGTCACTCAGCAGTTGCCTGGCTACTGAAATTACATTTTAAATGATACTGATGGTTAAGATAATGTCACTCAATAATAAAGTTTAAAATGTTAGGAATATATAATAACAATTTGGACTGCTGAGAAAACTGAATGCCAATAAGCTACTAAAACAAGAGCTAACTTTACAGGGACAGTATTATATATGCTTTCAAGGATTACTAATAAAATCCTAGATCACAAAATTAACATAAAATCACTTTGGTGTTAAAATTTATAGCATATTTGCTTTTCTAATTCCTTTCATTTATTTATTTCTGAATTTCTGTATTTTGAGTTGATGATTAATAACTTGAAATTTTTTAAACATTTCTGATACTATCTTTCTAAGCTTTATTTATTTGGAAGGCAGAGTAATAAAGAGAGACAAGGAGGGAGGAAGAGGAAAGGGGAGGGAAGCAGTAAGAGAGAGCGCCAGAAAGTTAAGAGTGAGAGAGAGATCTCCATCAATTTATCTTCCATTTGCTGGTTCATTCCCCGAAAGATCACAATGGTTAGAGCTGGACCAGTGCAGATCCAGTGGCCTTCACTTTCTTATTAAAAAAAAAAAAATCAGCAAGTGTAACTGCTTGCAAAGTATTCAATTAAAACAGAACACTTAGTATATAAGTCCTAAGTGGATTCCAACCCAAAACGAACGAACTCCAATTTGCATGGCCATAAATTGCATAAATTAAAAAATTGCATTATGCGTTCCAGTAACAACTAAATGAGTTCAGTCTTTTCAAACGGGAAATAGTGCTCCCATTACAGGTCTTAACAGAGATTAGAAGTCAAGGAAATACCAAGCCTCTAACATCAGGGATCTCAACCAAGGTGACTAAGAGGTTACAGTCAAGTTGAGAAAGTCAACAAGCAATGCAAGGACTCCCACCCTCACCGTCACCGGGCTGCCTTCATACCCATTCTTAACATTGACTAAGAAATCTTGCAACTTTCCTCCAAATTGTGAAAAACAACAGTTGTTTTCTTGAACCCAATATTCTAAAAATCCTACAAAATTATGTTCTCAATGTCCTAATTACCGTCTTCCCTAGGTTAACATCATGTCGTGTCTTATTCTTTTCTTCCACAGGCTCATGCTAAGTCAGCAAGTCCTGGCAGCACTGTCATTGTGACTCCACTCTCCAGTGTGACAAGCATGCATGACTTTACATCTGCTCAGTCTTCGTCCAACAGCTTTACTCTCATTTCCTGCCTTGACTCTGACCTCCAATATATAAAAAAAACCTTAAATCCAGACTGGCTTATCAATCAACAGGGAACAGCGGCAGGCAGGCAAAGTGCAGCCACCGCGTTGGGATCTCCAGACACCATCCCGTGCTTCAGTACAGTCTTCCTGGGCTCACATCTCGGATGTCGCTCAAACCTGGCAGCAACAGAGTTCCAAGTCACCACTATTTCATGGCACTTGTAGTCCATCTGGAACATCAACGACTATTTTCCAAACATTTATTATGCAACTAAAGGCTTAAAAATACCTTTTGGTGTCACAGAATTGTACCTGAAACACTACCACACTATCACACTCTACTGTTAAGACCTACAAAATAAGTAAAAACAGGCTAGTTAATGGTAAGTAACTATATGTGATTCCCCTAACCTTACTCTAAGGAAAGGATCTGTCACTTTGCATATTATATCTCAATTCAGTATCTCAGGGGTTCATACAAAATTTAAACTTTGACCAATGCAGAGTGTCAAACACTGAAAAACAAAGGCTAATTATTGGTCTGGTGGAGGTTGTTGGAGGCTGGGGGAGGAGATGTCGGGGAGTGTTACCTGGGTTTGAATTCCACTGTATATGCCTCCATCTTAAAAGGCGACAGAAAATTTAAATTTTTCTGGTGAGCAGGACAGGACAACAGGGAGACAGGGTTCTGACAGGTGCTGTCTGTGCCCTTACGCTGCAGACAGGCTGAGAAACAAAAAGAAGACCTACAGTTGTGGGAGGCCTTCACTTGCTGGAGTCAGCCTGATCATGAAACGTCAAGACTCCTAGCTAAGGGAAAACTTGACCAAAGCGTTAGGAAGTAGTTCTGAGATTAGCTCAAACCCAGAACTTCAAAGGCTTATTCTTGGTTAGCTCCCATACCTGCTGTTGCTGCTTTTTTTTTCTTTTGTTTTTTATTGAAAAGCTTATTTATAGAGAGGAGAGACGGAGAAAAAGATCTTTCATCTGTTGCTTCACTCTGCAAGTGGCCACAATGGCCAACACTGAGCTGATCAGAACCCAGGAGCCAGAAGCTTCCTCCAGGGCTCTCACATGGGTTCAGGGTGCCAAGGGTTTAGGACATCCTCTGCTATTTTCACAGGCCATAAGCAGGGAGCTGAATGGCAAGTGGAGGAGCGAGGACAAGAACCCACGTGCATATCGGAACCTGGCGCATGCAAGATGAGGATTTAGCCACTAGGCCATCACACCGTGTTCCCGCACCTGCTACTACTACAACGGCAGATTCCTCCCTCCAAAGGCAAGTGACTAAGGGTTTCCAGAATCTAGCATCTTTGAAGGTAAATTTATAGGCATTTTACTCACGAAAATTTGCCCCCCCCCCCCGTAATCTCCAGCAAGATTGTGTGTACCATCCACTCCACAGCAAGACAATTACCAACCACCCTATAGCCAGCACAGGACCACAAGCAAACAGGAAGTTCAGGATGTGACTCAGGAAAGGGCATTCCTGATATAACAGAAACCCAGCCTCCTGAGACAAGAAAATGTGGTAGAACAGCTCAGAATGAACAAGCATCAGGTTCCAATTATTTACTCAGTTACAGAACCTGGCCAAGTAGTATGCCCTACAGAGAAAGATAACCTGGAAAGAGGCTGGAGTAATAGCGACCCTAACCAATAGAAGCATTAGAAAATAAAGGGGCCCAGTGACGTGGCCTAGCAAGCTAAAGCCCTCACCCAGAGCATGCCCGGGATCCCATATGGGCACCGGTTCTAATCCCGGCAGCTCCACTTCCAGTCCAGCTCCCTGCTCGTGGCCTGGGAGAGCAGTCGAGGACGGCCCAAAGCCTTGGGACCCTGCACCCGCGTGGGAGACCCAGAAGAGGTTCCTGGTTCCCAGCTTCGGATACGCGCAGTACCAGCCATTGTGGTCACTTGGGGAGTGAATCATCGGACAGAACATCTTCCTCTGTCTCTCCTCCTCTCTGTATATCTGACTTTGTAATAAAAATAAATAAATCCTTAAAAAAAAAAAAGATAAGAAAGGAGCTGGCACGGTAGCCTAGCGGCTAGTCCTTGCTTCATACACACTGGGATCCCATATGGGCATTGCTTCTAATCCCAACAGCCCTGCTTCCCATCCAACTTCTGCTTTGTCTAGGAAAGTCATGGAGGACGGCCCAAAGCCTTGGGACCCTACACCCACATGGGAGATCCAGAGGAAGCTCCTGGCTCTGGGTATCAGATTGGCTCAGCTCTGGCCGTTTGTGGCCAACTGGGGAGTGAATCAACAAATGGAAGATTTTTCTGTCCCTCCTTTTCTCTGAAAATCTGCCTTTCAGGTTAAAAACAAATCTTTAAAAAGAGGGAGAGAATGTTGGAGTTTACACAAAGCTCCAGTCTATCTTTGTAAAAACCAATAATCACACATTACAAAAAACATACTAAGCCAAAATGTGTTCAAGAAGGGTGAGCACTGGGCACAGCAGTTAGGAACCCAGCTGGGATGCCCACACCCCATGTCACAGTGCCTGGGTTGGAGTCTACTCCAATTCCAGCTTAGTCCTAATACACACACGTCAGACATCAAAATTTGTAACTATTATGTCTTCCTGATGAATCGATCCTTTTTTTTAAAGATTTATTTTTATTATTATCATTTTTTTATTGGAAAGGCGGATAGACAGAGAGGAGAGACAAAGAGAAAGATCTTCTGTCCGATGATTCACTCTCCAAGTGAGTGCAACAGCCAGAGCTATGCCGATCCGAAGCCAGGAGCCTCTTCTGGGTCTCCCATGCGGGTACAGGGTCCCAAAGCCTTGGGCCGTCCTTGACTGCTTTCCCGGGCCACAGGCAGGGAGCTGGATGGGAAGCGGGGCTGGCAGGATAGAACTGGCGCCCATATGGGATCCCGGGCGTGCAAGGCGAAGACTTTAACCACTTGTGCCACCGCGCTGTGCCCTGAATCGATCCTTTTATCATTGGGAAATGAACCCTTTAGCAATATTCTTTATCTTGAAGTCTACTTTATATGATACAAATGGAGCCATTCCACCCTTTTTGCACTGTTTGCATGGCATAATTCTCCAGTGCATTAATTTAAGCCATCTGTCTATACATTAAAAGAGCTTTATCTGTATAGGAGATCTTTATTGCAACTAGGTTGCTCTCCTGGAGGGCTACAACAACCAGAGCTGCACTGGGCCAATCAGGAGCCATGAGCTCCAGCCAGGTGTCCCTAACCAGTTGCAGGAATCCAAGTACTTTCCTGGAAATTAGCAGCAAGCCAAATTTGAAGCAGAGCAGTCAGCAATCCAGATAGCAGTGTATACAAGTGGGAGAGATGGCTCAAGTACTTGAATCCTTTCACCCATATGGAAGAGCCAGATGAAGTTCCTGGCTTTATCCTGGCCTATCCTTGGCTGTTGCAGGCATTTGGAGAATCAAAACGCA